AGTTATTTATACCACCCATATTATTGTTGCAAAGCAGAACCTTTCTTATAATATCCCACTTTTTCAATTAAAAAAAAAGATGAACTACATATGGAATAAAAACAAACAAAAACTACACCTTCTCCACATTGATGGCCTCCCGTGCAGAGGTCTCCACATAGCGCATCCCGTAGGCCCCCGCCAGCTTCTCCGCCTCCTGCTGAGTCACCTGACGCTGGGCTTCCAGGTCACACTTGTGGCCGACCAGCAGGAAGATGATGCTGTGCGGCTGGACGTGGCTCTGCGCCTCCTCCAGCCAGTTGTGGACGTTTTGAAAGGAGCGGCGGTTTGTGATGTCAAAGAGCAAGAGGCCACCCACTGAGTTGCGGTAGTAGGCTCTGGTGATTGACCTGCACAGAAAGAGGTGTGCAGGAATGCAGACGTGAATAACTGGCAGAAGACCACACCCACAGTGGAAAAAAAGGGTCCCCTACAAATGAACAAGTTGCATCTGTTTGAGTAGTTTTTGCTAAAAAAAAAACTACCGTTATACAATTTGTACCGATTTTTTGTTCTTTTCTTTCTTTTGCAGATGAATACAGGTGAACCTCTGTCCGTCCTTATTTCTGACACATTTGGTCACTGTCATGGCGGAAGACCCATCCATGACCCATCTTTGGTGTTTTGGCTGAGAGAAGGAGGTTCTCATCCAAGATTCTGGTCTTTAAATCAGTGACGTTGTCCTGTACCCTTAGCAGAAAAATGTTTCCACCTCTGTGCTTGCTAGTGGGGATGGTATTCTTTGAATCATACTCAACATCTCTCTTCATCCAAACACGAAGGGTAACGTTGATGCCAAAGACCACCTGATCACATCACTTTCTCCTAAGCCTTCTCTCAATCATTTGTTCACCGGCAAACTTAGCACGGGCCTGTAAACGTGACTTCTAAAGCAAATTTTTGTGAGGCTGCAAAAGGTCAGTCCATCATGACACAGTTCAGTGACATGCAAACCAATTATATAACATTTATTGAATGTGTTTTATCTGGATTTTGTATTGATATTCTGTGTCTCGACATTAAAAACTACAATAAAAATTAGAGACTGTTCATTTCTTTGTAAGTGAAAAAACTCACAAATTCAGCAGGGGATCAACTAATTATTTCCCCCATTTTTTTTTTAATGTTTTCTTTTAAAAATACACTCTGATTTCCATGTTTACACAATATCAGCATGAATCAAAAAGCTGGCAGCTGGGAAGGTAGGCCATACTGTTATATACAACTCTTTCCAGCTTCTTCAACATGTGATTAGCATCAGGTTGAAAAAAATCTACTTTTTAATATTTTATTTGTATTTTGTGGACTGTTTTCATTTGGCTGCAAGTTTTAATATTTTATATCATTTAATTTACATATTTAAAAGTGACCCCTTTAAAAAAAAACATAGTCATGACTTCATGAATTGTTTTTTTCCCCATGATTGCCAAATCATTAAAAATGTGAATTCTGAACCCAGTAAAGGATTAGACTGGAGATATTCTGGGTTTTTGGTTTGTTTGGTTTTTGTTTGTTTGTTTGTTTGTTTGTTTTTTAATTATTATTTTTCTTTCCAAACATGCAGAGCTACCCGCTGTGGCGACCACTTTTTGAATAAGGGAGCTGCCAAAAGTAGATTATTTTTATTTCGAGACCAGCAAAAGACCCAAACCAGCCTCAGGGAAACACAAGCTGGTGTACTGCCTGTGCCAGTCCTGAGCTGGATTAATGGAAGTGTTGCATCAGGAGGGGCAACCGGCATAAGATTTGTGCCAAATAAAACATGCGGATCCATCTGCTGCGGCGACCCCTTTGGGAAATAAAGGAGCAGCTGAAAGTCTCCCCCCCCCCCAAAGTTTGTGGCTTCCCTATCCTCTCTCTGACTCTTATTAAGATATTAAAATGATCACAAATATAAACTTTAATTTTCAAATGAGGTTAAACAGCTTAATTACCCATCTGGTTGAGATAGTTTTCACCTAACAAACTTTTAGTTTAGTGTTAACAGCAGATGGACAGAGAACTCATGCAGTAATGTTAATGAAGGAAAGTGTCAAAACATGTCATCTTAACGTGGCCTAACTGAGCTTTAATGCCCATCTGACGGAAGCATGTGTAGTGTGTGCTTTTGAAGTATGAGGAGAGTCTTGTTTATAGTCCAAAATCTAGTTTTTGTGGACACATGAGAAAGAAATCAGGAGTCTGTCTTTACCTGAACCTCTCCTGTCCTGCCGTGTCCCAGATCTGAAGTTTGATTCTTTTCCCCGGCTCGATCTCCACAAGACGGGAGAAGAAGTCCACCCCGACGGTCGGGTCTGACACCTGTGCGAAGCGGCCCTCAGTGAACCTCCGGATCAGGCATGACTTGCCGACTGTGGAGTCTCCGATGACTATCAGACGAAACTGGTAAAGCCATATAGTCTCCATTTCTCATTGAAATAAGTTCTGCAAGACAAAAAAACCCCACTCACTTAGTCAGGGTCACCCACAGTAAGCCCAATACTGAGACTAAAACGAGACTCTTAAAAAGATGAAATGAGAATCCTCTCCTCACAAAACCAAATATTTTACATCATCTAATGGAAGGATTTTTGTAAATATAAAATCTAAAACATCAATTAAAATCCTGCTGTTCATGTCTTCAAATTTGGATCCTTCAAAGGGGATGGAAACAGCTGTAGATTAAACATCAGACTTTAAAGCTTCCACAAGCCCCTCCGTCTTTTTCAGAAAAAGAAGATCTGCTTAAATGAGTTTAAACAGATCAAACATTACATTTAATCCAGAGATTGTGCTGACTAGAAGGATATTTTTTGGGATTATGGCTTTCCTCTAAACATGGGAATAATAGGCTCATAGCGTCTCAGCAGTGGCCATGTGATTTACAGATGGGTGATCTAATTTGAAAGAGGGAGGGGGAGGCCACTCCTCTCCAACTCAATAAACAGTGGCGTAGTCAGCCCCCATGTGGATAGCAGAGTGGTTGTTATAGAGCAATAACACACAATGAGGCCTTGAATAAAGCCAGAATTCAGGTTTAATATAGTTGCTTAAAAATCACCATAGATAGGAAGAAGGCGTCCTGTGCTACTAATGATGCAACAAACTATATGGTTCTTTATTTAATTTTTTTTGTTTTGATCACAAGGCCCAACCCTCTTAGCTCAATGAGCATTCTCTACTTAGTTAATTATTTTTCTGGACAACAATTAAATTAAACAACTAATAAAGTGTGACCTACCTCAATTTCAGAGCTCAGTACTTGAAAAAAAGAAACCCCATATTGATGATTATGTTTCCAAAAAAGAAGAAAAAAATGACCCCTAATCTAGCACTGGTTCTGTTGTTGCTTACAGAAAACCCCAGGCGGTAACATACAGAGCATTAGCAGGGCCTCCGGTGCAGCATCGCTTTGTGAGCCGGTTTAAAGGGTGAAAACGGGGTGAGCGGTGTTTGGCCCGACAGGTGATCCGATCTGCTGGCTCATTACAGCGGGGCTGTTGATATTTCCGCGATGATCCGCTGATGAAATGGCAGCAGAACACAGCAGCAGCATCGCACTCACGTCTCTTCCTCGCCCTCATCAGTACCATTACCGTAATGGCGCGCACAGCAGCGCAGCAGCAGATTCCCGGGGCGATGCATTCACGTGCTAAACGGAAGAAAAAAACGGTAAATAAGAAACGAACACACATGCGATTATTTCATATCAGTACTTAGTACTTACAAAAATATATTTATAATTTTTTCCCCCTAGACCTCCAGGGTGACAGCGAATGATCAGCCAGTGGAAAACAACTAACCTTATTCTATTTGCTCTTGTACTATAAGTACAATATTTGCTGGAGTATTTTCATTTTAACCTACTATGTACTTCTATAAAGAAAATGTATTTTATTTTGTTAAACTGCATTTCAGTACACTAAAAATAAGTATATGCAGTATAACCACTATCCAAAAATTGCCTCTTTAACTTTGCCTCCTCTTCTCTCCAGAGCACACCTCCACCTCTCCAGCCTCGCTTCCACCCTCTTCCTACTCTCACTACAGATTACAATGTTGTCTGCAAAACATCATAGTCCACCCCCACCCTGAACCCATCTGACTTTCCCACCAGTCCACCACCACTCTCCTCATACATGACCTGCACCACCCTCACATACCTCTGTTATCCCTGACTTCATCATGAAGTACCACATTTCAACTCCTTCTGTACTTCTCATATCAACACTCACAAAACAAAAATGGCACCTGCAGTGCTCTTTCTCAGCATGGAGCACTGATCGTTCTTAGGTAAAGACTAAAGCGCATTTGCACGTTTTATTTGATCTTATTCATTGATATTGAAAACTCCATTCAGTTCAGAAGTAAAGTCCAACACATTAGCCTGAAATCAAGTTTGGATTCTTTGATTTGCATTTGGTTTTCGGGTCCATTACAATAACGGTGCTGTCTGACTTTAGCCATGATGGACACTCCGTGCAATCACGATGTAGGGCTACAGAAATGATTTAGTCATGAAAACATTTATTGCTGCTTTTTAAATAGTAAAACAATCTAATATTTGCGAACTTCGGCTTAAATCGATCATTTTTTTCTAATTGAAAACATCCAAAGACGTCATCGATCCATTTTACACACCTTTCTGACATTTAAATGACAGATATTAATTTGTTATTTGCAGAGTCGCTTTATTCGAATATTTTAAAGACATCAGATGGAATTTAAAATGAAGCTTATGTTTACGAGGAGTGTGTGAACGCACCATGAGTTTTCTGCTGAAGTTTGCAGTTTGCTCTGAAGTAAGCGAACTCACGCTGTCCTTATTTTATTTAGACTGTTGGACTCCGGTGATTCTCGACGATAGAAGATCACGTGATAATATTTCGGTTCGCAGCAGGACGGAAGGAAATGCCTTTACTGTAGCTGCTCTGTGGTTTTGATGTGTCTCAGCATCCTTCGGAAAGTTTTCATAATATCACCGAGCCTGCAGCCATGCAGCAGGAGCTTCTTTTCAAAGTCCTGGTCATCGGAGACTTAGGAGTAGGGAAGACGTCCATAATCAAGCGGTATGTGCATCAGATCTTCTCCCAGCACTACCGAGCCACCATTGGGGTGGACTTCGCCCTGAAGGTGTTGCAGTGGGACAGTAACACTGTGATCCGGCTACAGCTGTGGGATATTGCAGGTCTGTCAAACTTTAACGACCCACTGGTTTAAGGCTTATATATATCAGGTGATACAACGGTGTTTGTGAGTGTGTGAGTGTGTGTGTGTGTGTGTGTGTGTGTGTGTGTGTGTGTGTGTGTGTGTGTGTGTGTGTGTGTGTGTGTTGGGGTTTTTGGGAACAAGAACCATTTGTTTCACCATCAGCAGCCGTGAAAGCTGCTTCTGGAAGGAAAGGCGCTTTGCAAATTCACTTGAGAGGATATTTAGAGGAGAGTTAGAACATAAATATCTTCATCTTAATCTAACTCAAGTCTTTTTGTAGTGTCATAAATAAGAGGATAGCACTTTTTTATTTAAGAAGTGAAAGGCAGAAGAAAAACAAAGAAAAGAAAAGCAGATTTTCCACCCAGTAAGTGTGTGTGTGTGTGTGTGTGTGTGTGTGTGTGTGTGTGTGTGTGTGTGTGTGTGTTGCATGCCTGGGTCACTCCCTGCCGTTTGGTGCCTGGTTGAGGAATGTAGATCCCATGCTCATAATATCAGGCACATGATGGCAGTTGCTGGAGACTAAACACACACACAGAGCTCCATAACTGGCACTCATAAACCATGACGTGACTTGATTTAATTTGATGGACTTGAAAGCAGTCTTTGTATGTGCGTGTGTCTGATTGATGGTGTCTCATCCCAGGACAGGAGCGGTATGGGAACATGACTCGTGTCTATTACCGGGAGGCGGTGGGAGCACTGGTGGTGTTTGACGTGACGAGGGCCTCCACGTTCGACGCCGTGCTGAAGTGGAAGGATGACCTAGACTCCAAGGTCAGATGGCTGAACCTGCAGAAGCATAAAGCTGGGCTTTTCTGGCTTCACCGTCATTCTCTCTGTCTTTTTTTTTTTACCCACACGTGACTGATCGCATGGTGGTTAGTGCTGTTGCCTGAGTTCAATTCCACCATCGGGTCGGGGTCTTTTTGTGTGGAGTTTGCATGTTCTCCCTGTATTTGCGTGGGTTCTCTCTGGGTACTCCGGCTTCTGCCCACAGTCCAAAGACATGCACTTTGTGTGGATAGGTTAATTGAAAAATCTAAATTGCCCATAGGTGTGAATGTGCGAGTGAATGCGAATGGTTGTTTGTCTCTGTGTGTTAGCCCTGCGACAGACTGGCGACCTGTCCAGGGTGTACCTCGCCTCTCGCCCTATGACAGCTGGGATAGGCTCTAGCACCCCCATGACCCTGAAAAGGATAAGCGGAAGCAAATGGATGGATGGATGGTTGGTGACTGATCGCAACTAAAGAGAGAGAAAGAGTTTTTGGCCCCTCCATTCATCTGTTTTCTTAAATGTTTATGCAGCTCGGGGTCACGGAGGGGCTGGAGCCTATCCCAGCTGTCACTGGATGAAGGGCAGAGTGCACCCTGCACAGCTTGCCAGTCTATCACAGCACCCCACTGACTCAAAACCTCTGTTATTTTCTTTGCAGCATTTCAGTGTTTTTTCTCCTTCTCACAGGGATCCAGCAGCATTTCCCATAAAAGGCAAAAACCTCAGGTTGCTACATTTACCCACATGTTTTCTCCTTTTTACCCCTGCATCACTTCTAGTGTTGTTTTTGGGATCTTGCATTGGGAGCTATAGTTGCATTAGTGCAGTGAAAGTTTGAAAAAAAAGCCCAACAGATCACAATCGTGCTCTTGGTTGATATTCAGGTTGAAGGGTCCTCATTTTTATACAACAGAGGAGCGAACAAAGCAGAGCAGAGGCGACTCAGCAGATGATCTGAAAGACTATTTTGGGCAAATTTAAATCAGGTTTTTGCTTTTTTTTATGGGAGTAGTCATGCACATTTATGATCTCCTTTTGTATATGTGGAAAATTATCAGTCATTGTTCAAATGTAGATTAATGCCACGGGCTTTTGAAAAACCTTGCACTTTGATGTGCATGAAATGGCAGAAAATGAAGAAGCAGAACTTGAAAGGGAAATAAAATGTACAACTTATTTTTTGCAGACTGTTGCATGAAAAGCGCGTAAAGGGGAGCATTTTTGGACAGAGACATCATAAAAGATGTGAGAGGATTTCAGAGGGTGAACACGCACCTCTGAAAAAGCTTCCTGACACTTTAAAGCAGACAAAAACCACTCCATGATGAGAACAAGCGAAAATTAGCACTCTAGTCTCTTCAGCTCGTATAGTTGTCAGTAATACTTTGTTATTGGTTTGCTTTTGTGATAAAATGTCTTTACAGAGAGACTACAGGGCACACTGATATTTTTCTGTTTGTGTGCTTTAAGGTAAGACAGGGCCATTTAACAATTTATTTAAAAAATAATGTGATCCAGCTCAACTTTCTTCTGTCCAAAGGTGACACTGAACCATGGGAGGCCAGTTCCAGCTGTACTCTTGGCCAACAAGTCAGACCAGCTGGTTTCCCAGCAGCCCCAACTCGACATCTTTTGTAGGGAGAACGGCTTCGTCGGATGGTTTGAGACTTCTGCAAAGGTGTGAGAGAGGAGACCCACGTGGCTTTTGATGCAATCTCTGCAACAAGCTGTAGATTTTCTTAGACAGATTGTTGAGTACACCAAAGATTTCTGTGCAAATTGTTAAAGCTTAGAGGTCTTTCTTTGACTACCCAAATGATAACTCTGTGCCATACAAGCAAGGCCCAAAATCGGGTTATATTTGCATATTTGGGGGGAAACTGGAGCAGTGTTATTTCAACAGAAGCTTCCTGTAAAAACAAACGATTCAAAAAATGTTTCATTCAAAGTCAGACAAGTTTATTTGCCGTCCTCTTGGGAGGCAAACAGAGGAATTCCAGCACTCTGGTGTGAACTAGACTCTTCTTTTTCTTCTCATTTAATGCCTTTCCAATGAGTTACACACAAGAGTGTGAGGTAAAGGCTGCGATGTAGTTACTGTACACAAAGGTTCATGTACATAAAGGGTGACTGACATGTGGGCAGTTTGAAAGAGAGCTGTAGATGTGTGACAAATGAAAGGAAAAGCCTGGACCGTTAAAGCCCTCAGTGAGGGGCTCTGATACAAAGTTATGCTGTGGGGGGCGTTTGGGTCCACAAATCAACACAACGCTGTCCTGATTGCCTTCATCCTACAATGAAACATGCTGCTCACACTTAGAAATCAAATAATATGACATCAGTCCCCTGCCAAGCATGCATTCCTAGTCCCAAAGAGTCTAGCTCTGCTCTAAATTAATGCGGTAATAGTAATTTTTTTTCTTGGCTAAATCACTATAGTAACCTATGCTTAACCTGGCCAGGAGCAATTTATGTGCAGCGTTTCAGTTTAAAATCAGCTGAAAGCGTCACATTTTCACTGATTCCAGTGCGCTTTAGGCGTTGTACAGATTCTGGGCTGAAGGAAAAAGGTTTATAAGTTGTACCTTACACCACTAAATGAGGCCCAGCTGTAAAGTCGAGTCGCATTCTCACAGGATTTTGCTGGCATTCAGTCGGTGATGCAGAAAATGAATGTTTACGCTCGGGCGTAGATGTGCCGCTATGTCTGATTTAAACTGCTGCGATGGCAGCTACTAGAACCCAAAATAGTAAACATTTATATTTGTTGGCTATTTATTTCTGAGAATACCTGTTAAACCAATGCAATTAATTGACTGCATCACTCTGAATAACCGCTGGTGTTTCAGAGCTTTAAGGTGCTGCCGTCACATTAGAAGTGAACGGCAGCACAGAGCGGTAATATAAATATAATAGAGTGAGATATTTTACCCCTTTGTGCGCTTTTGATGCTGGTAAATTCACAACATAAAGATAGCCTTATTTGCAGCAATGTTGCATTTTATTGCTATATTCTCTATAATTTTTAGAGATCACCTGTTCCTCTGATAATGTCTCTGATTGGAGGAGGCAGTGCTGAATTGCTCCACTGGAATAGGCTCTCTTACAGTATGTGAGGCTGAAGCAGAAAAACTGGGTTAACAGAGAAGGCGGGTAACCACTGCCATAATACTCGTTATCTCTGACTGGGAAAAGCCTGGATATTGAACTTTATTCACCGTAAACCTCTCAAAAAAATCTTTGGAGAACAACAAAATCAGATTGCTAAGAGAAGTAGCGATCCAGCTGTCATCAATCCAGCTGCCTACTCTAAGGTTGACCTAGATGTGTCAGACGGCTGCCCCTCCCTGAGCCTGGTTCTGCTGGAGGTTTCTTCCTGTTAAAGGGAGTTTTTCCTTCCCACTGTCGCCAAAGTGCTTGCATCTGGTTGTTGGGGTTTTCTCTATATTATTGTAGGGTCTTGACCTTACAATACAAAACAACTGCAAGCAACTGTTGTTGTGATTTAGTGCTATATAAATAAAACTGAATTGAATGTGTTGTCACTATATGAAAAGTAAGGAAAATTACAGCTTCTATAGGACTCATTCTGAGTTTAATATGAATGTGCGTCCATGGCAATCAATTCAGCTTCTCTTGAGATATTAAAATCTGTGTGTGTCCGCTGCACCGGTGTGGCTGTAAAGATTTCATCACAGCTGTCTTACTTTTTCTATTTTTTTTCTCACTCAGGAAAACACAAACATTGAGGAGGCAGCCCGCTGCTTGGTAGAGCACATTCTGAGAAACGAGGAGAGTCTAGTGACAGAGCGAGAACCTGGTTCGCTCATCCTGTCCGGATGCGCCACGACATCAAAGCAGCATCTTGGCTGCTCCTCGTGTTCAAAATGGTAATGTCTGACATCAACAGGCGACCAAGACGGGAAGGCCACGAGAAATGTTTGACTCAGGGACCGCTTTAAGAAAAATTCTGTCTCAGAGTGATAGATTTGATTTTAAAAACATCTTAAAAGTGTTTAAAGTCTTTGAAGTTCTGTGGGTATCAAAATGTGATTTTTATTACTTTATTTCTTTATCCATTTTTTTTGTCCCTCCACACAAACTTTAACAATCTTAGAAATCAAAACACTAAAAAAAAGAAAAAAAAAGTTGGTACATGCAGTTTTTATTATTGGCACTTTCTCGCTTCTTTAACTTGCTTTGAATCGACAGTGTGACACTGATATTTGAACTGACGGCTCTCTGTGGCACTTTCGTTCTGACGCTGATGTAACATGAAAAATAATTCCAAACTTTGATTTTTTTTTTGCCTGCAGTGTGAACACAGACACGAAAACATGAATCTTCCTTGCGTTATTTGCACTTTTCCTCGGCCTACGTTTCTATCTGTGTTTAACCGCTCACTAAAAATGTCAACGTCATGAATACTGCATTGTGAGCTTGAGATACATAAAAGCAGCTGCTCAGCTTTGGATAACATATAGACTGGGAATTGGGAAAACAGCCTGACTCAGGGAGGGGCTTCATACTGTTCAACTCTGCTGCTTGAAGCACTAATACTGACCTCAACTCAGCTGGGACGAGAAGTCATATACAGTCTCTTTGCGTATGACTCGGTAGCATTAGCAGTTTATAGCAAGCACACTGTGTTGGCTATGTTTTTTTAATAGGATTTTCAAGAACCTACATCACTCTCTTTTGTATATGGATTTGAGTGAACATTTAATATTGGGTGGGCCACATGTGAGCGCCACACTCTTGGCTTCAGAAATAACTGCTGTATGGGAATGAAATCTCTTTGCAACAGCTATCGCCACCTAGTGGCTTCAGATAGAAGGCAGGTTTAAGATACTTTCCTACTGACTTAATTTTTCCAACCCCAAAATTAGCTCAATGTTTTATATTGCCTATGGGGGCATTTGGTCTAATATCCACTGCCAAGCCAATGGATGTGGTGCATCAACAGTGCCTCTATGATAAGGCCCAGATATTTGAGGAGATAAGCCCAGAGCAGAGGTGGGCAATTAATTTTCCCACAGGAATCACACGAGAAGCTGGAACTGCTATGGAGGGCCACACCAATCAGCTTGTTGAGATATGAAATTAATACTGAGCAGAATTCAGCTCATCTTATTGGTGTGGGTGCAGTTTATCATGTGGCCCCTGTGGGAAAATTAATTGCCCACTGGTGGCCTAGAGGAATAATAATAATAATAACAATCATAACAAAGAATTTAGCCAACAATAACACTAAGTGGGATTTTTTTTGCTTTGCACCAATCTCGTTGAATATATTTTCCTTCTACACTGCATCGTGAGCTGATGAAGTGGAAAATCTGTTCTGGCACAGTGCTGAGGAAACTAAACAAGAATCCTTTGCAGTCAGGAACAAACAGAGAAGTATCGGGGACCCTGGAGGGGAGACAGTTTAGCAGATATGGCCACTAAAAAGACCATTCAATTAGCTGATAAGATACTAAAGACTGTTTCTGAATTCATTAATTAGAAACAGCTGTAAGAATAAAACAATTAAGACATCTGCGGGTCCTCCAGTGCTCTGCCTCTTCCTGATATACTGACGGATATTCAGTCAGCTGCTAATTTACATGTGTTGTCTGTATTTTAAATGTGGTTTCAGTGAAGAATCTCATTTTTGAAGTATTTCACTCTTAACTTTCACCATAAACTCTTGGCTCTGTTGTTCAAATGGGACATTTTCTTCAGCTTTAAAATCAACTTCTTGTCAGTCCAATAAAAAAAATGTGGTATGTGCTCCTCCACATCTGCACAGACGCTTTTGTTGAGCTTGTCTTGTGTGTTATTTGAAGGTCCATGTTTTCAAATTAGGCATCTGTTTTATATTTTTCTTCACTGCCTTTGATGTGCAATAGCACTTAAGCCCTTAAGAATAGAGGCATTTGTCTGCACCCTCTGTGGACCAGACTATGTGTATATAGACATGTACTTCTGCATATGTTTTAAATGATGATCATTCAGGATTTTTGCCTCAACTACATGTCACTTAAATCAACACTCCTTCAAATGAACAATAATACTGAAAGAATTATCCAATTATTCTGTAGCTATTCATACAATGCATTTAGCTTTACTTTAAAGCAACGTTTCTCTTCCTACAGCTGCATGCTTCTGAGGATTTACAGTTGTTCTCTTGATGTCATTCTGAAATGAATAATCTTTAGGTTCTAGTTTGTTGGCAGGGAAAATTTGAGGTTGTTACTTTGCATTTTAAGGAAATGTTGATCAATATGTTTCAGTATTTTAGGCATTTTTTATACCAAGGTAAATAACTGAGCAGCAGATTAACTTTAAGATTGTGTATTTGTTGTACGGCTGTAGTCAAACGTTTACATTCAGCAATCATGGGCATGAATGTCATGGTAATTTGGGACTTTTAATGATTTCTTTGACCTGTTCTGTCCATGGTACAATGATTATGCAAGCATCCTCTACCAGACACTTTTGGTAGCCGTCAACGAGCTTCTGGCATAACTCTGGCGAGATATTTGACCACTCTTCTTGACAGAATTTGCAGACCTCGTTTAAATTGCTTGTTTTCCTGGCACAGGACTGGTCCATAGATTTTCTATTGGTGTGAGGTCGGGGCTTTGGGAAAGTCATTCAAGAAGGGATCATTGTCCTCAATTTGAAGCTGATCATTGTGATCATGTTGGAAAATTCGGAGGTAGCTCCCCTTCTCCATTAAACCATCCACTTTGCGCAGTGTACCTGTACCACTGGCAGCTAAGCAGCCCCAGAGAATTATGCTACCACCACCAGCTTGACAGCTGGTGCATTGTTCTTAGGTTTGAAATCCTCACCTCCTTTACTCCTCCAAACATACCTCTTTGTCATTGTGACCAAATAGCTCAACCTTGGTCTCCTCTGACCATCAAACTTTTTTCCAGAGGACGTTTGATTTGTCCATGTGAGCAGCTGAAAATTCAAATAGAGCTTGAAGGTGTAATTTTGGAGCAGGCACTTGCCTTGCTTGGTGCCTTCTCAGTCCAGTGATGTAAAACACACTTCACTGTGGACTGCGGCACTGCTGTTCCACAAGTTTCCAGCTCACAGTAAGCTTGCTAGTTCCTGGTTGAGGGTGACAGTTTGTGTCTTCTTCCAGATCCTGGCAAAGTGGAGATGGTGACACATAAAAACAACTTTTACTTATGTACAGTAGTTTGAACCAATGATTTTTGAATCCACAGAAATTAAAATAAATTGACAAAACAGGGACAGAGGTTCCTGCAGGGTTTAAATTTTAGCAGTGTGAATATTTTGTGGTCTAGAGAATATCTTCTAAAGCTTTCTGGATAACACAAGGAAATATGTTTTAAGCTATTTAAGTAATACCCTCCTGTGAGTTATTTTACCATTATGAGAACACTGTTTCATTCCAGGAACTACATTTCACTGTAACGGTGAAAAGATATTAAAGCAAAAACGATTACTTAAAGCCCCCTCATAGTATTAAGTTAAAAACTGGAGGTGGAATATTGGTGGGGAATTATTTACAATAAACGTCACCATCTGGTTTTCCTGGGATTTAAAAGCACAAACTAAAACACACGGGGTCAGAGGCACCTTTTCATAGGAGGTGTTACAGGAATAAAACATCTTTTTGTGTGTTGTTATTATTAGTGGTTTTTCCTCACTATGTGTCTACATTTCATTGGACAGCAGATAATCAGCGCGAGTTTGCACATCACACTCTTGTGCTGTCCGTATGCACTAAGGTGATAAACCAGCTGATGCTTTTCTCTCCTTGAAAAGCCTTCTGCTTTAAGATGCCCTCCCCGGACTCGAGAAGTGGTCCAATCGCCCTCGTTTCTCAGTCACCTGATTCATGTGCTGCCATTTTACACACAAGTTTGACTGACAAAATAAATAAATAAATCAGAATTGGCCTATCGGAAACCTCAGCAGAGAAATACACCCTTTTGTAAAGAAGATTAAAAAGACTGGTGATAAAAATCACAGTGGCTGAGGTTTCATGCAGCCAGCGCGGGGTGCTGTGTGCGAATCAGAGAGGCGCTTGCAGTCGGATCTGTGCACACGTTCAGAGGCGATACCGGGTGAAGAAGGAAAAGGGGAGGGAAAGGACAATGCTACAGCCCGTGTCTTTGAAAAATTAGTCTTCAGTCATGGTGATGCCGCATAGATTTCATAATCATCGCCGGCCGTCTTTCTATCACTGACATTGCTTTTTTGTGATTCAGCGCTCTGGCACGGACTCTGCGCCGGCATTTCACCCTCAGCAGCGTCTATTTCAGGGATACTGTAGATTATATTAATACACTGACCAGCTTTGGATGCAGGCCGCTCTGACAGGCTACACCGATTTTCTTCTTTTTTACAAGCAGGTTGATTATTTCTGCAGCTGGGCCACCCTGTTGCCCTGCGCTGGATTTTTGGATGCTTCTCTGGATGTGTGACCGTTTAACGCTTTATTTGGCCGCCGCATGAATTCTCCCACCGGATCCTGGTCCGTGTACGCTGCTGTCCTCCACCACCACCACCTCCTCCTCCTCTTCTCCCTCCTCTGGCCGATTCTCACAGAGGGCACTACCCTCCTCCTCCTCCTCTTCCCTGCCGCTAAAGACATTTTGATCGTCCTCCCCGGTTCCCCCCACCCGGACTCGACCATCACTCCTCCGCCTGCCTCCTCATCCTCCTCCTCCTCCACCACCACCACCGCCGCCTCCTCCGTAACATGTCGGGACAGTCTTTGACCGACCGGATCGCCGCCGCACAGCACAGCATGACCGGGTCTGCCATCAGCAAAGCCGTCTGCAAGGCCACGACGCACGAAGTCAGCGGACCCAAGAAGAAACACCTTGACTGTAGGTTAAGCATACCATCACTGCTTACTGTATAGATAGGCAGCCTGCCTGCATGCATGCATCAAGCGACCAGCATCTTTTTCCTCACAAAGGGTAGCTTGTATAAACAGCATTACGCTCCCCCCTCCCACCACCTCTCTCTCTCTCATCCGGCCCGCTTATGTTCACAGCTTCTTTAATTAGGCACCGTTACATTCCATTAGATTAAAACGTGATTTACGCAGCAGCCGAGCGCACACAGGCTCCACCACTGACCATCAGAGCAAGCGGAGATCTTCTTCGTCTCTCTTTTTTTTTAATATAAGGCGAGAGGGGGGCAAGCCAGGCATTATCTGTGCATGTCATTCAGGGGAAATAGGCCACTCTGGTATAAGCTAATCATATTGCAACCAGTGTAGGCCTATCCATTATTAATGCCACTATCAGGAGCAGCAGCAGCACTGCTGGAGACTCTTCAGTACAGAATGTGCGTTATTGTGCAACATTTTTCTGCCATGCATTCTCGCTGATAAACGCGCTGCTGGTCAGTCCTAAAGGTGCTGAGGACCCTGTCAAGGTTTTAGGAAGAGCAGTGCACTTTTTCCACTCCCCAGCTAATTGTCTATGCAATCAGTAGCAATGATGCACACAGTGATAAAGAGGATTTCTCACATGTGGATTGCATCAGTGATTATTAGGTGGCTGTTAGGTTAGGTGGCTTTTCTGCCTCACTATAATTACTTGACATGATCAATAGAGAGCATGGGTGATCAATGGCACTGCCAGTCACACTCACATGCAGGCAGACAGACAGCAAGACAGCGAATCTGGAGGAAATGTGGATAAATCAGTCAGAGAGAGACCAGGAGGCAAGTGGCCAAACAGCCAGTCATCCAGCTACACACCCACCCACCCAGTCAGTCGGTCGCCTGGCAAGTTTGGCAGTGGATTGGTCAGTCATGTCCACAGCAGAGGGTATCATTGTGGATTTTGGGCTCCCTTACAAGATATGCCACCAGGCATTTCAGTGTAATATATCTAAAGAGGGCTGCCTCACTAAAAAAAAAGAAAAAAAAAAAGAAGAAGAAGCAGGAAACACCCAGTGGGGGCTCAGAAGCAGGTTTCTCTGAGCATTTACGATGAAGGAGCCCTTTTGTGACTCTAGAGCAGGGGTGGGCAATTCCAGGCCTCGAGGGCCGGTGTCCTGCAGGTTTTAGATCTCACCTTGGGTCAGCACACCTGAATCACATGATTAGTTTGTTACCAGGCCTCTGGAGAACTTCAAGATATGTTGAGGAGCTAATTTAGCCATTTAAATCAGCTGTGTTGGTTCAAGGACACATCTAAAACCTGCAGGGACACTGGCCCTCAAGGCCTGGAGTTGCCCACCCCTGCTCTAGAGTAATTCCTGCTGCTTTGATTTCATATTAATCTTACCTCGATGGTGGCAGGCGCTCAGTGTTAATTATTAAGTTTTTTAGAGGCTGATGTTTTACGCTATACACAGTTTCACACATCCTTGGAAAAATAAGTAGAAGAGAATCAAACCTACTGAAGGCTCCACGTTCAGTATCGCCGCAAGTGCATCAACAGACTGGCACCGGTGCTCGTTTGTTATTGTGCTCGCCGCAGACGCCCCAGTTTTATGAGAACATTGGACTCCTGCAGATATTAAACGACAGAAGGTCATCCACCTTCAGCGCCTGCCACGAGTGGGTGTATCTCAGAAACTAGTAAATGTCACTTAACTCAAGGGTGAGAGCAGAAAATCTTAAAATAGAACCGGAGCATTTACATGACAAATGTCCATCTGTCAAGTGGATTATAAAACAGTTTTTGTCACGACTCACAAGGGCAGAGAAGTTTCTCTCAGAGTCGGTCAGTTTATTCTGGTGAAGGTGGTTTATTCTCCTTTTCCACATTGATACGACTCCTTTGTAGATTTGATTCACTCTCATGGATGTGTGAATCACATTTTTTAGTTAAATAAGCAATTTTGTACTGAAGCCATTCAGATGCAGCTGTTCTAATAGATGCCGCAATAAAATACTTTCTATTTCCAGCTAGAGAGCCTCTCTAAGCCAACATCCAGCACTCTCTCTCATCCGCATTAGGGCACACTTTTAAGGTTAAGGAGGCGATCCAGGAAGGAAGTGTGTTTGTCATCAGGCGGTCAGTGGGCCTGAGCCTTAATTTGACTGAGAGGACCTTGGTGGGGAAGTGAATAAAGAATGCAAAGAAAAGGCAGTGAACACAACTGCTCTCAAGGAGCTTCTGATGAGTCAGCTGTACAGGACTGCGTGCAATCACAGGTCTCTTTGTTCAACCATCAATGCATCTGAGACTCTTTTCTAACCGAACCTGCGTGGTAAACTCAGGTTATGAGAAAACGGCGGACATTTGGTTTGTATTTTCAGATAATGCAAAGCTTATTATAAAAGCTCTCTGCATGGAGGACACGAGCGAGTGGAGCAAACTCAGTGTGGCTAAAAGAATACAGAGCTGCCGGGAAGAAACTGTTCAGATTGGAAAGAAAGAATCTGTTAAAATAATCTGAGGTTAGTTTGATAAGCAGAGTTAAAATACACTCTAGTTGTTATTGAGCCACCACAGCAGGCACAGCATAGAATAAATGCTACGCACAATAAATCTATTCAGAGTGACCAAACCCAGGCCTCCTTTTTTTCCCCCCCTCTTACGGGTCATGACCTTGCCGCTGTGGTAGGTGACTTCAGTGGCAAATGTTCATCTTTGATGACCCACAGCAAATAATGAGCATGACACACACACAAACACAGGGTAATGACATAGTAGAAGAGTAATCAGGCTAAAAATTACCTTCTGCCCCCAGAGCACAGTCAGCAGTGGTATTCACTGTATGATTTCTTTGCTTGTGCGTCACTGCTGAAATGCTGTAGCGTCACGTTGTAGATTTATTCAAAAAGAAGCTAATTGTGTCGAGAATAATTATCTGCCTTTTTTGCTCCGATGTTCTTCGCTTTTGGCCTCTCGGCTGGATTCAGTGAAAGGCAGCAGCGAGAAAGAGGAAGAAGTGACGACAGATGAGCAAAAATACAACGGATGACGGGGCTCAGCCGCACAGGCGGTCAAACAGAAGAGTAATATACATGAATCCCCCCCCTCCCCGCCACGCACACACATGCTTACTCTGACATCTTGTAGTTCAATTACACGCTCTGAATGATATTCACTTTTTTTTTTCTTTTTTAACGCCAAGGCTTTAAAACACATGGGAGGGAAAAAAAAGTTTTTATTGCATTTTAAAGTAAATCTCTCTTTATGAGCTCAAATCCCTTCAGTCATGCATACTTTAAAACTCTGCTCTTACATTTGATCCTAACCAGTATTACAGGTGTCTTAAATTTAGCGCCGTGTTGTCGTGTAATCGTGCAAACCTTTGCACGCTTGCAGCATAAATCTCACTTCTTTTTGTGTTCTTTATCTGCATTTTTTTTTCCTGTGTGGATTTCGGCTTATCGATAATCCCAGCTGGCAATCGTGCAATCAATACTTCATCATCATCATTGTCATCATCATCACATCCCTCTGGCTATTTGCACAGCCACACATCGATGGTTAAATCCCAGCTGATGAATTGTCACCCAAAGGAACAAATAGATTGGGACATGGAAATGTAGTAATTACCCTACTAAAAGTTAAATATCTCTAAACCTCCAGTGAATTAGTTAGTGGTTACTCACAGGCAGTGTAAAACTGAACACCTTTTGACCTTGTCTGCTGTTTAGTTACAGCTTGATATAGATGTTTGGGTTTTTTTATATTTATTTATTTCTGAATTTCCTAGGATCATCCTTCAAGCTCTGCTTTTGAGCTCAGCTACCTCTAAATATGAGGCAAATATGTGGTTATTTTTCCACTCTGTTGCCTCATCTTACATCGTTTTTATTCAAGTGTCACATAAAACTACTAGAAGCTCTAGTCCTTGCAGTTTAAAAGCCCATGAACATAAAAGCAAACATACAGGGTTTCAGAGAAATGGTCCTAATTTAGACATGGAATGCAAGAGGCACACATTAAGGATTTTAAAGGAGGAATTGAGGATTTTATTGTTGCGTATATATACATATATCTATTCAATATGCGTTAGTTTGGGAATTGTTTCTTGTGCCAATTTTATTGCTTCCTGTGCATGTTACATTTTCTGCTTTCAGATGTAGGGAGTGGACAGACCTTTGGCTTATATTTGGCCCTAAAGCAGGAGACCAAATGTCATGACATTAATGCAGCAGAGTTGAGAGTCTGACAGTCTTGGCTGCGTTCGTAATTCATTGTAGGCCAAGCTGGATGAGGTGACAACCTATAATCAATACTTTTACACTTATTATTGGCTGTGCTGTTCCTGCTGAGGCTTTCGCAGTCGAAACTAAAATAAAATAAGACCAAGCTGAGTTGGATCGAAACATCAGCTGCCGCTGGTCGCTGTTGCTTAGGGTGTGTTTCGACATGCAGTCAATGGTTAATCAGGGTGCGAACCAGGACTCTTTGGTATCCAGCGTTTCAGTGGCTGCAGAAAACCTCATCAAGCTTTCAAAACAAAACACTGATAACCTCTGATCCTGCAAAAAAAAAAGAAAGAAAAAAAGAAGCAGATCTCAGAAACCAAACAGCTTTCTCAGTATCTCAGCACACAGATGCTCCCCCGTCTGCCTGTGACTACACTGGTTTTCTCTGATTGCACAAGGGACTCTTTAATTTAGTTCCTTTCATTATAATTGTGCGACACACTTTTGTTGCTGGTGTCTTGTTACCAAATTCAAGTGAAACCGCGGATCGTCCTGATTTCACACTTCTCATCTCATCTGGTAACATTTTAGATTCATTTCTTCTGTCTGTTTATCACTTTTGGTCCCAGTGTGTGTTTTACCAGGATTAGCTGAGACCCTGTTACCAGCTGGCCTTTAAGCAGCCTGCACAATCTCACTTTTAACAGCATCACTGAGAATTTGATGCAGATTGTTTATCCAGGAAAAAAATCTCCAGCTTGCTGATAAATGTCACTGAGCAAATAGCATGAGCTATATATTATGAATGCACTCTGTATAGTGTGTTTATAAAAAAAGGTTTTTTTACTGTAGAAATGCCCCAAGTCAAGATAAGAAAATCTGTCCCTGAAGATTTTAACAACCTTTCGTTTACAGTAATTGAACATTTCAGAATCACATAAGTGGATCTGTAGGCTATGCAGTCTGTAATGCACTGTGTAAAACATGTTTGCACCATTTTACTAGAAGCCTGCAAGTCTTTGTGCTTCAACAGATGCCAAACATACTTTGCATTTTGCTTCTGAGCCCAGTTCCTTAAAGAATGTAGGGCAACATTCCTGCAACCCATCCCAGCAACACTTCTTATCTCTATTTAATTATTTTTGTTGTATCTACAAGACTGAGCACAAACAAAAACCCCACTCCTCTGTTTCCCTGCCAGTTCTCAGATGTGAACACGCACATGCGAGCACACACTCGACCTGTCGTTTGCCAGACCTTTGAGTCTGACATACAGCACCGAGCTGTTTTTCCCCCTTTTTTAAAACGTGTTCCACATTTGCTTTAAACGGCCAATTTACATTCTAGATGCGACTCTCGGATGTTAACTGTTGGGAGGGTGGGGGTCATCTGTTTTAGTCCATCATCGCTAACAAAGATGCTCGGGAAGAAAACTCACAGTCAATATTCATCATCACTCCATTCATCTGACAGTTTTTTTTTTTCGTTTTTTTTTCCTAAATAAAATATGTGTCGCTTAAGTTCATTACGCGGGAATGGAATCGACCTTGCAATGTACCTTTCCATCTTCTGAGTTGATATTTTATTGATATTTTTATAGAGGAGGCTGGCAGCGTTGCTGAATTACAGTCTCAGATGTGCATTTGGAGATACATCCATCTATAGAGACTATATCATTCATCGATATCATTAATCCATCATTTGTTCATTGAGGCGAGATAAATGCACCGGTCAATATGACTTCAGTCTGTGTGATTGTTCACTCCATCAGCAACTGTTGCTTTTATTCACAATGACTTACAGTAAGTGAACAGGCGGGGTTGGAGTTTATTTGTGTGTTCCTTCACCTTGCTTTCACACTTTTCTCCAGATTGTTTCATGGGTCATCTTTTTTTTGTCTCCTCCAGACCTGATCCACTGCACCAATGAGCTGAACGTCAGCATCCCCCACCTGGCAGACACACTGCTGGAGCGCACAACTAGCAACAGCTGGATTGTGGTTTTTAAAGCGCTCATCACCACACACCACCTCATGATGTACGGCAATGAGGTGAGTCAACCCGCATCGACGTATGGATGCCCGGGGAAATTCGGAGGATGTCTGTCCCCTCTGATCTTGTGACAACAGGAAAATTATTTGTCATCCTGACAAAAAACGCTTGTTTTAAAGAGATCTAAAACGCACTATGGTGCTTCTAAAATGATCCATCTCACTGTTTTTTTGAGGTCAACATTTCCTGAGTGGTGGGACGTGACTTGAAAGGCCAAAATGACTCTGCCGAAGCTCTAAATAAAAATGTAGAAAAGCTTATTCATCTATTTATCAGTATTGCTCTTCCAATAGAAAAAGGCACCAAATAACCTCTCATTACCAGTGACTCCTGTGTGTGTTATCAATTAACTACACAAATTGTCACTAGGCAGCAAAAGATGACGATCAAACCATTTCCTGTACAGTCTAATACTCTGTGAATGAGCACGAGAGAGACTCTGAGCTTGCTGGTGTTTTGATCGATCCTAAATACTTTGTAGAGATTTCTCTCCAACGCACCCTCAGTGAGATTCTTTGAAACCGTGTCTTCCATGTGTCCAGCAAGGACAGATGAAATACTCGGCTGACATTTCAATGGCCAGTATGACAAATCGCAGTGCTCCACTGCGCACCCTGCGAGAGCAGCGACCAAAAAACATCAAACATGTTAAAAGATGAGCTTCTGAGACTAGATAGAAGTGCCGTGGCAACGATTACTCCGGGGACGATGACCCTTTCAGAGCATGTGAGCAACAAAGCTTTCAGTGACATGAGCAGTGACATGATGTTTTAAAAATTTGTCAGGGTTGTTTAAATTGGGCGTTTTTAGCCTGGCTTTTTCCTCACTGGTTTTCACCCTGGCCAGAAAGACTGCGTGTTTACAGGCCTCTGAATTGGCATCAAAGCTTGCTTAACGTGATCTGATCCTTTTAAAAAGTGGATGCTGGAATGGGTTTTGCTGCAAATGGGATATCAGTTAAGGAAAGAAGGGGTTGTTTTGTATTGGTAGTGAGGGCAGATTGTGAACGCTAGATCAAGGAAAAGTCGTATGAATCAGCTCTTAATGTTAAAACACCACAGCGAGCTGACTGACCTGATCCACCCTGGCAACCACGACTCAAATAAACCAAACAAATACATGTAGCTTTTTCCAGAGGCTGCCTTTTTTCTCCATTGAGCTCTTAATTGTCTGCCTGCTTTCAGTTGTTACAGGAAAGTTAATCTGCTTCTTTTCCCCCTGGGTAACTCAACCTAGACAAACTACATCAAGCCTGGACATGTTTATGAATGCTGATACAGTTTTCAAGGATGTCAGTGTGTCTGTTTCATACAGTTTCAGGAAGATTATTTCACTGTTTCCTTCTTGGCTGTGAAATTAGTAAAAGGCAAAAAAAAAAGTAGGGCAAGAGCTTTCAAATAAAGACGGGGCAAACGGTCAGTGAAACAAGTAAGAAAGTGAGTTACACAGCGATAGCTAATATACCCAAGTTTGGTAACACTGGCTACTATAAGATGCTAGTCAAACCCGTAGACTGTATATTAGACTTTGTTGTAGACACAGTGATGTCACCCACTGGCTTTAATGTTTGCCGTTTTCAATTTCTAGCACCAAATCACAACAACTGTGGCTTCAAGGTGATTTTTTATTGTAAGGTCAAGACCCTACAATAATGCAAAGACAACAGGAAAAAAAACCCAACAATAATATGATGCGACAGCGGGAAGAAAAAACTTCCTTTTAACAGGAAGAAACCTTGACAGAACCAGGCTCAGCGAGAGGCGGCCATCTACTGCGACCGGTTAGGGGTGAGGGGAGGAAGACAGGACAAAGACACACTGTGGAAGAGAGCCAGAGATGAATAATAACTGATGATTAAATGGTGGTGTAATTTTTGCAGCCTTAAATCTGCTTTTGTGTTGCAGATGTTGTGTTTTTTTTTTAGATCAGATGCAACTTTGAACAAGCGCCAATTGCTAAGTTAGCAGCTAATGCTGACTAGCTTAGAATTTGGCCATGTGCAGGTTAGAGAGTGCACTGCTGATAGCAACCACTGGTTACTAATGAGAAATGTGTTATCCCTGACCATTTGGTGAGCAGTTGCTGGAGATTGTTAGTTGAAATTTGGAGCAAAGAGGTATACAGGGGTTATGAACGCTTTGGGCAACAAGCGTTGGGCATTGACAGCAATTTACACTATATCTATAAACACTCGACAATTACTCACTGAGTGGTGGAGAAGCCTTAAAGCATAGCAGTAAAATATGTGCAAAATATATGGGCAAATGTTGAAGCCTGCTAGCAAACAAAGCAATCACAAGAAGGTTTTTGGTGCAGCACCACGAGGTGGCTGTAGCTCAGAAGGTAGAACAAGATAATTGAAAGGTTGGTGGTTCAATCTCTGGCAGCTCCAGTGTTAGCTAGAAAGCACTTAGGTGCAGAAAAAAAGTCCTTTTATTAATGGATGAATAAAGCATATTGTATAAAGTGCTTGGAGTGCTCCAGTACAGTAGAAAAGCCCTCTATAAGGACCAGTCCTTTTAGCATTTACCCTCTTTGCAAACCACTTGCCAACTGCTCAGGGAATACGGTTTTCCTAGACCTGCATGACTGAGGCCTTAGCAAAGTGCATACACAAAATGCCAGGCCTGTGGTGCTTTTTCAAATTCTTCTTCCGAGTTTCCGTGGTGACATGAACAAAAGTCTGTCACAGATACAAACTTTGGTGACCTTTAAATTACGTACGAGCAACGTATGTGGATTGAGACATGTGAAACAAACACAAATGGAGAATATAACGTCACATTTGCAGGGAGGTGGTGAATATGAAAATCAAAAGAATCGTGATTTATAATAAATCTTTTAAAAAAACATATAGATGCTAAAAATCGCTGCACGTGTGACGATGTTTGTGCAAGGTTTCATTCATATATAATTATAGGTAGGGTAGATACACAAATATATACATATGCTATGATCTTTACAGTAAGATGCCACAGATATTCTAATTATTGATAACATATAAATACAATAACACTAGATTTTAATTCACTGAAAACACACAGAAAGCACAGATAATATTACAGTGCACAGTAATATTATTTGTCACACTACTGCATTAAAAAGGCACCGAAACAATAAACAGAGTTCAACTGGAAGGTACATTTTATTACTTTTAAATGTAACTTTGCAAAAAGAAGAACTTTTTTTGTCAAACGTTACCTGCGTCACCCAAGCCAGCACAATTACCCTCTGAAAAATGCAGATAAAGCTGCAACATTTGTGTACATACAGGCTGCCCATGTGGCAGTTTGGCCTTGACTTGAAACTGTCAGGCCACAGAAAGAGAGAAATCACTAACTCATTCTTCTGTTCTTTTTCCTTCAGAGATTGATGCAGTACCTTGCCTCCAGGAATACACTCTTCAACCTCAACAACTTTCTAGATAAGGCTGCACTACAAGGTGATTTAATGCCATTTGGCTCTTTGTAGACTCAGCAGTGCTGTACATCTAACAAAATGACTTTATGTCGGACTCTCGCTGCCTCTGTAGCGCTATCAATAAGCTGCTGCTCAGACGGACCAAATCTGAAAAACCTACCGATGACTGTACCCTTTGTTTGTTACAAAGGGTGCGGAAAATTAAAAAAACATGCTTGGTGACTTTTTAATTATATATACAAAAGGAAAACAAGATAAATAAGATAAGATAAGATAAGATAACCTTTATTAGTCCCACACGTGGGAAATTTGTTTTGTCACAGCAGGAAGTGGACAGTGCAAAAGTTATGACGCAAAAATTAGAATACAATAAGAATAAATACAGTACACAGCTGTACAGAATAGAATAAAATAATATACTATATACAGTAGAATAAAATAGAATAAAAATATACAATAAGATAAAAAGAGAATACGAATGCTATATACAACTGAGTAAAGGTAATGCATGAGCACTGGAAATGCGGGTTGGTCGCAAAGAAGCGACTATATTTTTAATTAAAATAAGTGTAGCTTCTTAATCTAATGTGAAAATTGGTCAAGCTGATCAATCTCTAACTGCAGCACCCTCTCTCTGCCCTACAGGGTATAACATGTCAACCTTCATCAGACGCTACAGCCGCTACCTGAATGAAAAAGCCATGTCTTACAGACTAGCAGCGGTGGACTTCACAAAAATGAAGAGAGGGTAGGATACTCTTGCTTGTAACACTTTGCCTGTTGTTTATCCTCTGCTTTACCTGTATAGTAGAAACAGTAAATATATTTTCTATTTTTCCTTAAATGTACATTTATGTTAACAAGTAGTCATTGCAGCCCCAAGTGGCAAATGCATGTCTTGTAAAAACAGTGTGTTCAAAATGGTTTCTATTTTTGTGTCAAGTGGTCTTGTGCCTATGTTTGAGATGAGCAACACAACAGTTTTGTTTGCATATGGGCAGCCAATCAGAAGACAGTAGGACCTTAAAGAGACAGAGCTAAAAGGGCACAGAGAGTAGATGAACTGAGCCTTTGAGTAATAAAAGCTTAGAGTCGCTGTTAGTGATATTCTAGAACAATGTTGAGCAAGAAATTGAACAGCCTTTGATGCTAAAATGCTGTATTAGAGTCAGTATATCATAACTGCAATCTTAAAACATTGTAATTATAAGCTAGTGGTCATAACAGACCAAACAAAGGAAAACAATTACAAGTATTGAACCAACAAAGGATGATTGTGAGGTTGGTTTAGGACATGCGTGAGGACATTTTTACATTTTTCAGTGGGGAGGTCAGAGTGGGATTACATCAGGGTTAGATGAGGTCAGGCAGGACCTTCAGTGGATTATAGTGTTTGCAGATGATAGTGTGACCTGTAGTGAGAGTAGGGAGGAGTTGGAAGAGAGCCTGGAGAAGTGGAGGTATGCTCCAGAGAGAAGAGGAAGAAGAGGAGGGAACAGTTGTAAAGTATGGTTTAGAGATGCCACTAACAAAAAGACCAGAGGCAGAGATGAAGATGCTCAGATTTTCACTGAGAGTGACCAAAATGGACCAGATCAGAAATGAATACATCAGCGAGACAGCTCAGGACGACCAGTTCGGAGATAAAGTTAGAGAAGCGAGGCAGAGACTGTTTGACACGTGCAAAGGAGGGCTAGTGGATATGTTTGATGCTGAAAATGAAGCTGGCCAGGTAAGACAAAAAGAGGAAGACCACAGAGGAGGAAGTTACATACTCTTGATTTTCAGTACATCACTTCCTCTACAGGCTTGATGAGTTCTGCGTGTGTTCTCCTGTGTGATTCTTAGGGCTGATGGTGTGATGCGCACCATGAACACAGAGAAGCTGATTAAGACTTTGCCCATCATTCAGAACCAGCTGGATGCACTGCTGGATTTCCAGGTAAACATCTGCCTTAATCGCTCCAAACCCTTTAATGTAAGCAATTGTAGCTGTCACTTCAATATCTCATCTCTCGTTCGTTCCTCCTATCGTCCAGCCAAACTCCAACGAGCTGACGAACGGAGTGATCAACACAGCCTTCATGTTGCTGTTTAAAGACTCCATACGGTTGTTTGCCGCTTATAACGAAGGCGTCATCAACATGTTGGGTACGCACGACACGGCAGATCCTGAGTTCATCTATCTTTAGTTCGTTCTATATTTATGTGGTAATTTTCCTCTGATGTCAAGATCACAAGACTGTGACTCCATCCAACTCCACTTAATCCTTCTTTAGAGAAAATCAATTTTTCCTCCCACTGTCTTCCAGAGTTCAATTAAGGGCCACTGTGTAATGATCAACTTCTTTTCTTCCATTAATTATTAAGGCAGTGAGGTGTGAGGGTCTGATAAGAGACCATCAGACTCTATGATTTTATTGTAAGTGGGAGTCTTAATGAAAATTAATTTCATCCTGCATGGACAAGAATTGGACAGGCCTAACAGGGAAAATCAGTACCAGATAGATTTTTAAAAGTTGTTTTTTACAGTATACACTGCTGCAGGTCAAAGTAAATTCTGTTTTTGAGCTGTTTCTCGTCTTCTGGCACGCAGAGAAATACTTTGACATGAAGAAGAACCAGTGCAAAGAAGCTTTGGAGATCTACAAGACCTTCCTCAACAGGATGACCAAACTGTCCGAGTTTCTCAAAGTGGCGGAGGTAACGTCCGTTTGTCCTGCCGCTCTTCGATGGAGTTAAACACCTGTAAAGACGATGGGAATATCTATTTGGAGCGAATCTCAACGGCCTTCCTTCCTCTCTGATTTTATATAAATATATTAAATGCTCCTTTCTCATTTCGTCCTGTCACTCAGGAGAAATTTAATCTGCAGAAAAGCGCACTTGAACCTGTTGAGATTTGCTCCAGACTTCTGTTACCCCAGGAACTGATTTACGGTCAGTCTTCTCAGACCTAAACTGACCGCAGATCAGCCTCCGGGAGCTTCTTCTCTTTAATCTTCCAAGTCTCTTTTTTGCACTAGATCTTCTCCTGTTTCTGTCCCTCTCTTGCCCTGGCCTAGGGAGGGGTTTACTTCAAGGCAGTCATTAACGCCAGACTCTTATAGGCTATCAGAGAGACACTCATGTAGAGCTTCCAGTTGAGAGACCCCTCGTGTGCTGCCTGTTCACATGCCTGCACTGCATGCCCAAGCAAGCTCTTTTTCTATCACTATCTCTTTCTCTTGTTCTAATAGCTTAATTTCCACCCTATTTCTTTTTTTTGTTTTGTTAATAAATAGAAGTTTCTTTTATTTTTAAATGGCTGTTACTCCGTTAACAGCTCTTGCTGGGCTTCACAATAAATATAAACAGTTTTATGATCTGTAGACTGCACAGAGTAATCGTGTACATCTTCAAAAGCTGCCTCGCTGCTTGGTTTCGTTCCCATTTGGAAGAAGGTTTGGGATGCAGCCACTTGATCCCAAAGAAAGAGAGAAAAAAAAGGAAAAAGAAAGAAAGACTAACGTTGACTTTAAGGACCCATTCATTTTACCTGTCTAACAAAATGTGTTTGTCTGTTTGTGTGTCATCTGTGCTCCCCCTCCCCTTCTTCTTTCTGTTCAAAGTCAACATTAGTTGAGTGTCTTCCTTTTGGATGTTTCTTATCTTGCAGTCACATGACCTGTTGTCTGCCCTCTGTGCCCTGCCTGTCTAAACAGTCGTTGTGCTCAGCTTTCATTTCCAACCAGATCTCATCGTGTGTGTATTTATAAGTGTGTGTGTGTACATGTACTGTGTGCGTGTGCGTGTATATATATATACATATATATAGGTGTTTGTATGCGTGTGCATGCGCCTTCCTCCTCTGTTGTCTTTTCTTTGTTTTCCTTTACAGCCACTGCATGAAGTAATGAATGCTTGGGTTTGATTCTTCTTTCTCCCTCCTCCTCCTCTTCCTCTTCTTCCTTCAACACGCCTCTTCCCTTTATTTTTTATTACTATGTGGTCTATTGGGTTTCTTTCTTTCTTTCTTTTTTTGGTTATTCCCTGATTTATTGTTACATTTGGTTTTATTTTTATTTTGCCTCCCTCCTCCCTCCCCCTATCCCTCCTTCCTTTTTTTGTGACACAGCGAGTTGGGATAGATCAGGGCGACAGCCCCGATCTCACACAGGTCAGTCTACATCTCATCTCAATCAGTCAATCAACCAGTCAGTCAACCAGTGTATTAAATCCGTCAAAGTCAGTCCCATAATGCTTCATTCTAAACGCTCCCGTTCCCTACTCACCCTACAGACCTGCCCACACTGCAGCTGCCCCGTTCTCCTCCTCTCTTCTTCACTCTCCTTAACTCCTTCACTTTGTCTCCTTTTCTGTCTGAATCGAGAATAGAGAGGACACATGCAACTAGCCTGAAAGCAGCATTTCCCCCCCCCCCCCCCCCTGACAATTTTTAGTCCTGTTTTCCTATCTGAATCCTTGCAGAACAAATTTTACTCTAAGGTAAGATTTTTTTAAATCAGTTTTTATGCAGCACAGCCACAAAAGTTTTCAGTCTCTCTCTCTCTCTTTTTTCAGATTAATTTTAGACTGGGGCATATAATATGTCAGAATTTTTTCTGGCAGTCTTTCAGGCATTTTCCCAGTGTAAATATCAAAGCTTGTCTGTTGACTCAAAGGCTTATCATACAAAAAAAAGTCAGCACAACTTTATGAAATAGGCTTTTGTCCATCTAAGCAGTGTTCACATCACTTTCTGAACAGATTATGTCCCTTTGTATTATTAGCTGTGGGGAGAGCAGCGAATGGTTTTTGTTAAATAGGTTTCTGCAAATATGACTTGGATAGGTGTACATAATGCCATCATAAGTACTGCATACTATGCTATGGTCCTTGAATACAGCTTATCCTTTTCATTGGATTTTAACAATGTGACAAAAAAAACTTAAATGGAAAAAAGTTGTTTTTTCTTTTTCTTTTCTACATTTATGTCGTGTTTGTAGTGCTTATGAAGACCTTATATGCCCTTATTCAACAACATAGTGAACCATGCCTTTACTAAGCTCTAGATATGTGTCTGTTTTAATTTTAAACTTTTAGCATATTCTAGATTTCTCTGAAGAAGGATGCCCAGAATTCGCATTTTACTCTCTTTCCCCCTTAAAATAAGTATATGAGAAATCTTTTCTTTGCCTGTTGTGTTTGCCTTGTGTTCTCTGGTGCTGAAATGTAAAGCTCTGGGTGAAAACTGTGGTATCACATGTGGTCCAAATGAACCCATCCATCCTTTTTGTTTTCCAGTAATGAGTGCAGGCCAGCTGTTCGATGTGTATACCTGGTTTTTTCACCAGATGTTTACATTTGACTGAGTTAACTTCCTTGGCTTCCAGCGGGACACAGTTTTGGTGCTTAGCTCCAGTGATTACTTCCTCAGCCAATCAAACCACTAACACATGAATCTCACTGTGGAATCCACAAGTTAACTCTTAAATTTTGGATAGTGATTTTCTTTCTGTGTATGCGTGTGTAAGTGTGTGTGTTTACGAGAGCATTTGTGCACTGCTGGCCTCTGCATGGGCTCGTTAGATGGTTCACAGACGTGTTTGTTGTGTTTCGACTCTGGAGCCCCGCAGCGATGATGCTCTGCTCTGTCCCGACCTGTCAGTCCTGCTGTGGACTCGCTTGCATGATCCAAAGCTAACATGTGCATGCTGGCCAACCAAACCTGATGAAACCAAATGAAAAAAACAAAAAAACAGAACAAAGAGCTGTCATAGAGTAGATAGTGAATTTGAGGGTGATGTCTAAATTTTGCTGCTGCTTTGTGTGTGTGAGAGAGAGATGAAATGAGAAGTGAGGAGAGGAGGGAAAAGCGAGCTAAGTGCCCCAATTTGCCTACTTGCCCATGGTTGTAATCTGCTGAACCCCACCCCCCTCAGGCTCCCAGTTCTCTCCTGGAGGCTCTGGAGCAGCATCTAGCTTCTCTGGAAGGCAGGAAGCTCAAGGACCTCTCCACCGCCAGCAGGTATGATCAGATCACAGACAGGCACCTCAGGCCTGCTGCATCACTCACTTAATGCTACTTTTAAAACTATTATTTCTGCTACAGCTGTTCTTTCCCTTACTGCTACCAGCATTAGCACTACAGCAACCATGGTGTACTGCTGATCTGCCACCATGAATTTTACTACTGCCAGATTTTTACAGTTTCTCTTATAGCAAACATAAAACTTGCATTTTACCTACATGCATCATATGCTGTTGCTTAAATGATACTTATAATCAAATTTTACTCAAAGTTCGTTTCTGATCACTACTTTGAAACATTTCAACCGTGGGTCATGCTGATGGTGCCCAGATAACTAAATGGTTTTTTTTTTTAGCTTTACATGGTGTTGTTAAAAAGTATCAAAGAGTAAAGTAAAGAATATCCCCCCCAAAAAGAAAAAGAAATTTAAAGAGACCTGTAAACCCTGTGTGTGTTTGCGGGTGTGTGTCTTACCTTAAGATCCAGCACCTTGTCCAGTGCAGTGTCATCTCTCTCCAGCACGGGGATCTCTCTCAGCCGCATGGAAGACAAGACGGAGGACAACCGACTGCAGCAACACAAGGTGAGTCAAACCTGTCCACATACTGTGGACAGGTTTGCACAGTTCATACATACCACGTGCCAGAACTATTGCAGGGATTCAACCACAATATGATTGCCTGTGCTTTTAGGTTCTTTTGTCTTCTATGCTAGTGAAACACTCTGAAATCCGTTCACGTGTGTGAACCATGTAGACCTCGGTGTCTTAAGACTTTCTGCCCTCCACACTGTTGTTAAAGTTGAATAGACAAGTGCATTAATTCTGCAGTACAGTGAAATACGCTGTTTCTCTGTAGTGTACAGAGATGCACACAGAATAGAAATGAACTCTCAGTCTACATACTGCACTCCTGCAGTGGAGTTTATTCTCAAACAAACCATCCTGGCCTTTCATTTGATAGTAACAATTTAAAGGAAGATTAACCCTTGAAATACACACTCACTGGATGCTTTGTTATTTATATCTAATAAAATTCTCATTAATGAAACTATTAAACTGGGCAATAATATGGCAGCAACTCATTTAGATGAGTTAAAGAATGTAGACATGGTCAAGATAACCTGCTGAAGTTCAAACCAAGCATCAGAATGGGGAAGAAAGGTGAGGAGACTTTGCATGTAGCATGGTTGTTAGTGCCAGACGGGCACTTTCCCACACAACCATCTCTAGGGTTACAGAGAAAATATCCAGCAAGATGCAGTTCTCTGGGAGAAAATGCCTCGTTGATGTCAGAAGAGAATGACCAGACTGCTTCAAGCTGATAGGAAGACAACAGTAATTTAAAAAAAAAAAACCACTCGTTACAACCATGGTATGCAGAAGAGCATAACACATCCAGCTTTGAGGACAACCTTAATCGCTTTTGGACAAAAGAAGATATGATCTGATCTGGTCTCATAAAACCATGGATCCATCCTGCCTATATGGATGGTTCAGGTTGGTGGTGGTGTAAGGATGTGGGGGATGTTTTCTTGGCATACCCCTTGATACCACTGGGTATTGTTTAAACACCACAGCCTGCCTGAGTATTTATGACTGCAGTGTACCCATCTTTTGATGGCTGTTCCCACCAGCAACTCTAACTGGCTTCTTGAACATGACAATGAGTTCACTGCACTCAAATGGCCTCCGTAGTAACCAGATCTCAATCCAATAGAGCACCTTTGGTATGTGGTGGAACAAGTAATACTAGATGTGCAGCTGACAAATCTGCTACCATGTCAACATAGACAAAATCCTTTGAGGAAAATCGCCAGCACCTTGTTGAATCGCTGCTAATAAGGATTAAGGAAGCTCTGAAGGCAAAAACAAAAAAAGAGTCTGACATAGTACTAGCAAAGTGAACCTTGTGTGTATTATACTAACCATAATCATCTACATTGTGTTGATGTATTCTGTCTAGGAGGACGGTCACAAAGTGATCGACATTCAGACACCTAACGTGTCACCCAGCACCCAATCAGTGGGCAGTGCCAACAGCAGTGGAGGGGCCACAGATCTCTTCTCTAACTCACCTATTGTACCCGTCAACAACCAGTGAGTGTATTGTCTGCGCTTATATATAGTTTCTACAAAGAAAAAAAGTGCCTCCTATCTATACTGCTAAAAAGAGTGTTTTTTGTATTAGTTAAATGTCACAAGTCTATTTCCTTGATCTTATCCTGATATTTTGTCCAGTTACCCTACGTCTTTAGATGAAAGCCTTTAGCCTTTACATTTTTAGAATAAAGTGAGGAAAAAAACTGTGCTTTCCACTCCATTTTCCTTCCTGCAGTGTGCCAAACCTGACTAGTGAGCTGTTCACCCTGCAGCCTAACTTCACCCCCATCCAGACCACACACACTGTGCCCAACAACAACAACGCCTGGGGAGGTAGGACCACGCACGCACGCACGCACATGTACACATAATCATGTTAACGTACAATGAAGCATGAGAGTAAATTCCCACTCACTACCTCACACACACACACACACATACAAACAAGCACACGCTTAAAGCATGTTATGCTTTGACAATGACAGCTAGCTTCTTCATGCTTTTTGACTCATTTCTTCTCTTTTCACGTTACCATGGTTACCTGTGGACATCAGGTGACTTGCTAAAGCCATCCCCACCCACTCAAATTCACAGTCCTGGAGCCCCGTTGCACTCTGGGAAGATGCTGCCCAATGATTTGGACTCATCCTTAGCCAACCTTGTTGGGAGTGAGTACAAAATGTGCAAATTTTCTCTTCACATTTTCCCTGTTAACCAGTCTTGCTGTGTCTCCCTTTCAACTGATGCTATGTTTATTTTTGTTTTATTTCTTCTCCCAGACCTGCAGTTTGGGGGGACGCCAGCTAAAAAGTGAGTGGGTTTGCCTTACATCAAAAGCCGAGCCGCAGGCAGACGACTGCTGTCGGATCTCTCACGCTGTTCAATGATTTTTGCATCCTCTGTGCACCTGCAAATGCACGTGTTAGATCGTGTGTGTTTTTGTGCATCAGGCCAGAGCTCCAGTGGAGTCAGCTGGTAGAGAAGAAGCCGACGGGTGGTAGTGGCTGGCAATCGAAGACCATGTGCACCAGCACCAACTGGACTCACACCACCCATCCCATGGCACCTGCACCCATGCCCGTTCCTCAAATGGTAAAATAAATGCTACAATTACTTTTTAATTGCCTGCGAGAGTTTGTGCTTGCGTCATCAAGGTCCTGTGGTTGCACTTACACTTCCTCTGACACTTTTTTCCCCCACTTCTGCTGCTTGATTAGATGTCTTCTCAAGACAGTATGGGTGTGAAGGTTTCTGCTTTATTAACAGTTTCTCCAGTCTCCACTTAGTATGGTTGGTTAATTTGGGATTAAAATATAATTTCACATATAAATTTCTGTAAACCAAAGCTAGCTATAAGTGGATGAGGGATCCTAGGTGAATTTCTAAATGGATGGGTTTGCTCCAGCGCGATGGCCAAGAAACTGAAAAGGTTTCTGGCTTCCATGCTGTTTAGTCAGTTGCTTTATCGCTCATTAGTGTTTCCCTACTGGCCGGTAGACTTTACAATGTGATAAGGTAATAAAAACAAAACAGATTTTTCTAGGCGCTTCTGAGCTTTTAAAACTGGAACCCCAAAGCCTCAGCTTTTTTAAGATAATGATAAAAACTGACATTGCGCACAGTTGGATTTTTCTCCCAAAAGTCTTTATAGATGTCTAATAATTGTGGTCATGTGAAAGAGACCAAGTGACCACTGAGAAGATTGGCAGTGAGGCTGTATCCAGCTCTTTCAATGCATCAGTACTTTTGAAGGAGCTCCCAAATGTGTCTGTGCCTTTTGTGCTCCATGCCAATTATCTACACGTCTCTTTAATTCAGTCTGGTTTCATCCTTTTAATTTTGGACTGATTGACCTCTCAACTCAAACTGCTCATTTTCTCGGCAAATGGTTTGGAAAGATGGTGGCACGCCTTGAATGGAAAGTAGATGATTTTAACATGAGGAAAGTGCAAAAAATTCCGCTTTATCTTCTCTGCCTGTTTGGAGAAAGAGAACGGGCATGGCTGTGATTGTGGTATGCGGAACTATTTTAGAGGTCTTTAACTGTTTTTCTTTTCTCTCTTTCCTTTAACTCGACAGAATGGGATGATCTATACTGGCTATGTAAGTTTCTTCAGCCCCCTTTCCTTCACTCCTCGTTTTGTCCACGACATCCTCCAGAACTGCACTGCTTTGCTTTCTTAATCATTTTCCTTATTGTACTGTCTTAGAACTGCCCTTTTATCCCTTGTGGTGTCATCTCGATTCAGTGTTGTTAAACGTTAAAGCTGATTTTGTTTAACAAGATCTTGTAAAAGCCGAATGAATGGGAATATTTATTTGGCATAAAAAAACAAAAAATGACTTTCTTTGAGGTACATCTTTGACAGATTAGAAATTAATTGCCCTAACAGAATTAGCGTTAATTTTAATTTATTTCTTTTGGTCACTATTAAAAAGTATTGTGCATTACGCCCCTCCCTGTTTTTCTGTACAGGCTCCAGCACCAGTGGCTTTTCCTATGACGACACCCCAAGTGCCTGTGTATGGAATGGTAAAGAACAACTTCCAGTCTTATCGTGGTCTTACAGTCAGAGATTTTTAATTTATCCAATAAATACTGTTTATTTTTATTGTTTTGTCTCGGTTCACGTTGCTCTGTTTACTCCCCACCTGTTTCGCTCCCTCATACTCTTCTCCTTCCCTGCCTGCTCTCACCTGTGCTCTGAGAAGCTCCCTCCTCAGATGAATCATCAGATGGGGGGCGTTCCCATGATGCCCCCACAGCATGTCATGTATAACCAGCCTGTCCTGAGACCCACCAATCCTTTTGGACCCATCCCAGGAACACAGGTAACATCAGCCCTCACAAAAACAAGCAGAAATGTTAATGAACATGCCAGAGAGCGTGGGGACAAGAGCATAGCATATGGGCACTAATGGGATCATCTCAAGTAGTGCAATGGTTGTACGCAGTTGTGTTGCACAAAGACCAGAGCGTTCTCACTCCCGAGGCGTAACGTGTCGACGTTTTGTCACGTCCTGCGGCGTTCCTGAGGAACGCGAAAGGAGACCTTCGGCGTTCTTATGGTACGCGGCGGGTTATGGCTGGAATCCAGTGCAATGACGCTCCCGCGGTAGTAGACGTTCCAGCCCTGTATTCCAGCCCTAAACCTAATCTTATCCCTAGCCCTGACCATAACCTTATTCCTGACCTTAACCAGATGATGATGTTAAATAGCGTGTTTCTAAGCGATTTGAAGAAAAAGAGCGAACATGTGTAGGTTCAGTCCATTCGGTTCTCTTATTTCCTCTTTTTCCGAGGTCGTCATTTAGGAACGTGGTGGGTAGCCGAAAACGTAATATGGTGACGATTTGTCACCTAGCGTAAAATGTTACGCTTTGGGAGTGAGAACGGGTACAAAGACACAAGTTTAGTAGTTTTGCCTCTGTACACCACCACAGTGGATTTTAAATCAACCAATCATGATGTGATTGAAGTGTAGACTTTCAGCTTTAATTCAAGGGGTTTAACAGAAAAATTTGACAAACTTTTTTAGGAATTGCAGCAAGTTTTATAGATATTCTCACATTTTCAGAGGCTTCGCATTAATTGGACAGTTTACTGTTTCATGACCGGTTATGCCTACTTCTCTGTTCTTGGACAAGCTTTGAAGACACGATATCTGAAGATGATTCAAAGTGTTGATTTTTCACTGCACTTTAAATATGAGGCCCAAGGAGATGTCAGTGCAAGTGAGGGACATCATCATTAGGGTCAACCCCCCCCCCCCCCCCCCCCCACCCAAAAAATAAAAATAAAGCAATCAGAGATGCAGCAAAAACCTGGTACATTCTTAAAAACCATGAATTCACCAGCTTGGCAACAACAAAACACCCGAAAGAACATTGAAGATTAGTAAACAGAATTATAGACAGAATTATAATGATTATAATCATATCCATGGTTAAGAAAAACTTCAGAATCTAAATGTGTTAACAACACTTAGGTGTTGGACATAGGTGCATCACTGTCAAGGTCTATAATCAAGCGATGGCTTCATGAATGGAAATATAGAGTTTTTGCAAAAAGGTGCAAACCACTGGTTACACTCAAAAACAGGAAGGCTGCATTAGACTGTGTCAGAAAAAGAGCCTGCACAGTTATGAAACAAATATTTCGACAGGTGAAACCGAGATGGTAAATGGCCTGTATTTATATAGCGCTTTACTAGTCCCTAAGGGCTTTACATATCCAGTCATCCACCCATTCGTGCTGGCAAGCTACATTGTAGCCACAGCCACCCTGGGGCGCACTGACAGAGGCGAGGCTGCCGGACACTGGCGCCACCGGGCCCTCTGACCACCACCAGTAGGCAACGGGTGAAGTGTCTTGCCCAAGGACACAACGACCGAGACTATCCAAGCCGGGGCTCGAACCGGCAACCTTCCGATTACAAGGCGAACTCCCAACTCTTGAGCCACGATCGCCTGGCTACCAATGGAATCAGGTCACTAGTGTTTAGTGATGATGTAACTGCAGATAGAAGTAGTAGTATGAATTCTAAAGTGCACAAAGCTATACTTTCTCTATACTCTCTCAGATTGCAGATCTGACTTCCCAGTGCAAATGATCCATAGCATACTGCAAGAGCCACCCAAGAGTTTCTCAATGCAAAGAAATGGGAAATTCCTCAACAGTGAAGTCAGTCACCAATGAAGTATATCCTATATATACACAGCATCCCAGCTGTTTTGTGGCTACATCGATGTAGTTAAACGAGCAGGCTGGGGCCGCTGGTTAGCTTGGCATAAAGTGATGCCCCCACAATCCCACAACTTGGCATCAAATAAGAGAGAAAAGTGATTTTCTTTAGGGTTATTGGTGTGCTGTTTTTCTTTTTCTTTGTTTGTATTCTTTTTTACTTTTGTTTCTGCTCTTAATGCTAAGGTAAGCTATCCAACTTCTGTTCACATGCAAATCACATGTCAGAAAATAAGTGCAGTTGTCAAGCTGTGCATTCCTTTGTAAACCATAAATCAAACATGCAGCTTGTCTGGGTGCTTTTTTTGTATTTTTCTTTCTCCTTACACTTGACCAATTACAGATAATCTGACACCACGCAGAGCAATTTTGAAAGCAGTCACAATACAGTAGGGGAAAAAACTGCCTTGTTGAAGCAGCAGCAGCAATGCTATTACAAACATGACCAATAAAAAAACAAAATGTTTAGTAGGTAATAAGGAGGGTGTGTGGATGGAGAAACTGCCCAAACTAAATCATCTGCAAATATTGGACAGCTCTAACATTTATGGTCTTCAGTGCGTAGCTTCTGAGAAAAGCAGATTATTGAAGCAGAAACAGATAAAGGAGAAAACTGGGAAGTAATAGGAGCTATTTAAATGATTTGAGCACATTAACGGGCTGCATTGCACATCTTAAACCGATGTGTACCAGCACAGAAACAACACGGGCAGAATATTGCTTTGGTACAAACACTGAATCTGTGCCTCTTCAAGTCCTCGGGAATAACAGAGGCCACTCGTTCATAGCTGTTTCTCTAGGGGTGATTAGCAATGTTCAAGTAGTGGCTCCATCAAGAATCTCAATGATGAGTCATGTTGTCAGGTAATTTAAAAATTGACCAGGAAGTGTGAAGAAGAAAAAAATAAGTTCACTGCGAGCAATCATCAGCTGCAAAGGTTACAAGACTCACAGGAGCACAAACAATCAAGTATATTTTGACCAATTATTCAAAACATAACAGAGTAATATAATTGTTTACTGAACAATCACCGCTCCGAGGTGCTGTTTTCTTGGCACTGCGGCAGCTAATACGCTTGTCAATAGATGCCTGAACACTTGATGAGCTGTTTTGTTGAACTAAATTACTCTTGCATGTCTCTCACCCCCCCCACCACCCCGTCCTCTGCAGATGCACTTCATGTAGGGGATGATGTTGTAACCATGGCAGCAAAGCTGGGAGAGAGAAGGCGAGAGGAAAGAGACAGAGAGAAAGAGTCGGCAGCGAACGCAAATCCAGAACCAAAATCCAGCGCAGGGGAAAGAAAGAAGAGGGCAGAGAGGAAGAAAAAGGGGAGGGGAGAGGACGAAGGAGAGAGGAGGACCAGAGGATGGATAGAAGATGAAACGCTGATGTCAGTTTCCATGTCACCTGACCCTCTAATCTCCTCTCCTCTCTCCATGTGGCTACTGATCTCTCTGTCTTTGAATCTATAGTGCTGGGGCACCAGAGGCTCTGCATTAGTCCCATTCATCCTCTGCTTGATTTGCCAGTTCAAATGGCAATTACGACCTGTGATGACACTATGAGGACTGACAGCTCGTTGGAAGTGCAGAAGCTCTTTTGCCATTTCCCCCCCGCCCCTCACCCCATCATACTGATAATTTCCTGTATAAAGGCTTACCCGCATCTCTCTCCATCTCTCAGCTGAATCAAACTTGGAGGACACGCGTCTCTTTCTCTGATTGGATCGTTTGCTGGCACTTTACTCTATGTGACCTTTGCCAAGGGTGTATTTCTGTGTAGGTGATTTTTAGCATCTTGTTCCGATTGGTTCCCGGTAACGTGTCATCCATCCGTCACCTGATGTCAGAAGTTATTGATTTGAATGCGTGCGTGTGTGTTCGTGTGTCTGCGCGTGCGTTCCTTTTTCTACATTTCAGCGTGCTGCATCCACGTATCCATTTGAGTCTTTTTATGAGCTCCATTTGTTCTTAATTGCCAATTTCACAGAGAGAATCGGGCGTAAAACAATTGGCACGCTTGTGTGATTGTGGATGGACGTGGAGCTGTGTAGGGTGTGCTACAGCGTGTGTTTCTCTTTTGGTACCTGATGTCATTAATGTGTTGCCAGGTACCAACATGTTACTGCACTGGAATTAACTGATGAAAGCACTGAGCCAGACCCAGGCATCACATTTGGATGTAAACAAACCTCCGCTACTTGGGGACGTGATGTACACACTGTGTTTCGTTTCGTTTTTTGGGGGGTTTTGCCCTCTTCTACAGGCGTGCAATATCATGCAATCTCATTATACACCCATTTGTAGCCCGGTTAGAAGCCTTTTTCTGCTGTAGTGTCAGAGTTCCTGTATGTCCACATGAGATTTCTGTACAAAATACTGTTGATTTTTTTTTTCTCGTTTTCTAAGCTGTTCTGATAACAACTGAACTGCTCTAAAAGTTGTGAAAAATGCACTGAGAGCCACACAGGAGGTGAGTTGACATTAGGTGAATTTCAATCTAGCAATCAGTAATGGTCGAACTCCCAGCTGTATGATATCCTCCCTGTCCTGAGCATTTGTCCTGTCCAAAATTAATCTCCTGTCAAGTCCTTATCACCCCCACCCTACCCACCCCAAAAGATAATAAAATTTAAAAAAAAAAAATGGATGAGGGTAGAAGTCTCACCTCCACTGGGAGGATTTAAAGAGAGCCACTGAGAAGCGAGTTATTAATGTAGAGTGGAACGTTTATGGACAGGACAGCTAAAGGTCAGTCTGGAGCATCAAGTGAACGACAGCAGTGGAAAGCAGCTGAGCGTAATGTCTGTCGATCGCGGCCCGAGCAAAGCCCGCAGCGACGGCACGCAGATTAATTCGGACAGCCAGAGACAGGGAGGCTCTAATGAGACATTAAATGTTAATGTGGATTTTCTAGGAGATCCAAGGTCGAGTTAGACTCACAGTCAGATGATATATATAAAAATATATATAGCACAAACCTTCAAAGAGGGGACAATGCTCTGCTGCACAAAAACCTAAAATCATTGCTGGGATGTACAGTCGAAAGGGGCAATAATCAATTGGGTATGAAGTCGTTTTTTTTATTGGTTGTGTCCGTTCTATGTACATGTACTGTATGTGTGTTTGTGTGCACATGCCTTCCCATAGAGATAAACAGGGTCATGTTCCTCGGTTAGAGGTTACACATCTCTATCGAGCTGGTAGCTTGTACTAACTTAGCAATGAGTGTTTTTGTGACCGTGTCTGTACAACATCACATCATTTTAAGGTGGCTCTAGGTTCACTCATCTGCTGCAAAACGCAAAAAACGGGGGGGGGAAGAAACCCCCGAGTCATCAGATGTGGAATCAGTCAAAGTGAGTCTGAAGCTGGAAGTGCACATGCTGGTGATTTCTAACAAAAAAAAAAGAAAAAGAATCGCAACTGTAACTGCTGGCTATGTAAAAACCAGTCTCACCGCAGCTACAACTTTACTACCAGCAGAGAGAGATTTGTGCTAGGAATCACCGGGCAGGCAGATGTTCTCTTTGAGGTTTCACTTTTGAATGAACATAAATGTAAGAGGTCAGCTGAGATTTGGGTATTTCCTTCGGGAAAATGTCGCGCCATTACTCCTTGTTGCAGTTATTTGTCGTTCTCCGTCAGATGAATGAGCTTTTCATTGTGCACTTCACTCCCACCAACAGAGCTCGATCCATCCTGGGCCAACCTCTGACTGTTACTGTGTCCTCTGTATATAGGTAATGCTGTTCATGTGTTTTTAGACGTGCTCTCTCTCTCTGTAAAGTGATCGAAGCCCCATTGGATGACGTACTGTACGTGGGACAATTTATTGCTGTATCTGTGTTTGAATGGTTGTACTTTGAAGGTGTCATCATCCAGCGATGGGCGGGGTGGGTTAGGGTTGATGTTTGTGATGTTTGTGTCCATCTGGAGGAGTAAGGGTGGGGTCGGGAGGGCTGGGGTTTATGGGGGTAAACTATCACAACTGGTCTATACCAAGAGTGTCTTCATCAAGGAAGTGGACAGGACAGGGTCTGTCCTCTTCAAAACAGGAACATTTTTTGCACCAAAGTCATCATCAAAGCGCAGCTTCTTCTTATTCAAAGTCACTACGGATGGATGATATCAGAACTCAAAGGAATTTTTTCGTTCTTTTACTTTTAGAGACAAAGAAACTGTCTTTTTTTTGCATGATTAAGTGTCGTCTTTTTATTGGCTTGTGTGCCCGGTAAAAGCATGACCATTGTGTGAACTCTCACTTACCGGTGTGTTTGGAAAACGTTAAGGAAATTTCTCCATGAGATTTTTTACTTACCTCTTGACATGAACACTCATTGACATTCATAAATCAACTGTTTTACAATGTAGGGGTCCGTAACTGTTTGAAGGCTGCCTCGCATGCAGAAATGCAACTTGCAAGTAACCCATCAAACTTCAAACACAGTTACCATATCTGCATCTCTGTAAAACATCATGGATGTCAATGTCGATTATCACCTAGCTAGCTAGACATTGCAGTCTTGTAAAATCGCTCTTTATTAAAGCGTTGCTATTTTCAATAAGTGTGTTTGAATGCTTGCTCCTTTTTCATACTATGCCAGCAGCATCATGAGAGGTCGTGATTGAAAGTCCAAGTACTGTAATACGTGTTTGGTCTGGTCCACATCGTGTGGTGTTCTTTATGTGTTTGCCCAGTCTCGTCCTGCCTGTTGTCATAAACTAGACTTATCAGTTCTTAATCATACCCTAAAGCACAGACCGGTTTCCTCTTAAGCCAGTCTTAAGTCCATGAGATGCTTCAAGTGTGTTTTGAACAATTTTGGAAAACTAGGACCAGAAATGTACAGATGTGGGGGTTGGGATTTGAGATCAATGGCATCATTTTCAGCCCAACTGTGTTAGTGCAGATGGGTAAATTAAGAATCTGTAGCATTACCCACATCTCTTGGTCATGTCTTTTTTTCCCCTTCTAAGAATAGTTCATTAATATTATATTCTTCCTCACATTCCCTCTACCTCGCTATGGTAGATTAAGGGACACAGCATGAAGCCTTTGAGCCAAACTAATTGTAGTATTTTATCTGTGGTGGGACTTTCTAAAGCCCAATGAAATAAGATTTGAAAGGCAAAGCTTTAGGAGAAAATTATTTGCCGTCACATCTTACCTTTCCATACAATACAATAAAAAGAACCTCCACTTTCAGTGTACACATTTACCTACACTAATGGTGCACAATGGATGTAGAAGGTTAACACAATGTTTCAAAAGTGGATGCTTATATTAAACATGGGTTTCATAAAAATGAAGTGAGTGGCCAAGTCCCCCCACCTCTCTTAGATTGGAATAGTCACACAGACAATATCCATGCAATAATTGCAAGAAAATTCTTTTTTTTTTTTCTGAAACTGGAATGTTTATCGAACCTTCTGACAATTTTTTAAAAATCAATTTGGTATTTGAGTTGGTATAATTTCTACTATGTCCATAATTTCTGTCCAATTTATTGCGCCATTTCATTCAGCTTTTTCAGGAAAAAAAACAAAACACACGGATTCAGAAGTCACAAAAACCCATGTATCAAATAGGCATTATAGGGTTAATCTGGTCACCGCAGGAACAGCCAAATTGCTGTTCAAACCATCTGTTTGGAAAGGACAGCCAATCAGAATAAGACAGCTTTAAAAGGAAATGAGCTAAAAAGGTTTGTTTTAGACCCAGGATGGACAGAGGCTTGAACTGAACTGCGAATTGTGCTAAGCTACCCTAGAAAAGAATGAATATACAGAAATGAAAAATAAACACTATAGGTCACCTCTAAAGAGTATGTTTAACAATGCCCAGAATGGAAAAGTCCCCAATTAAATTATTTACTGACTGCACACTCAACAGGAAACAAGTGTTTGTATTCATTAGTGAAGCTACTTCATAAACTAATCTGGCTGATGGAGGCATTTATTACCAGAGTAGAAACTGCTGCATATCCATACCATTATTCCAATGAATGGTGCATGATGTCTCTGCAGTTTCACCTTCACTGTTCCACCTTTGCCCATTTACGTACACAGGCCTACTCCTCATGTTACCTCAGTATATTAGTGTATACTGCTTTCACTACACCCATGCAGTACTGTAGTGTCCATTTGTAAACTTAATTGCTGTTGAGGGCATGAAACTCAGTGAGTATCCATGAAAAGGTCTTGTTTGCAGGTGGAAGTCCGATACCTTCAACTACTTCTTTTGTATATTAAAAACGACTCAATTATCAGGTTTGGATTGTTATCAGAGTATTGGTTTTTATTTGAAAAAGCATAGATTGATGTTTTTGGAAAAAAACTGAATAAAATGTCATCTGATGCTGAGCCCTGAAAGTTTAAATGGCAAAACCCACCAAGCTTTCTGCATCTTCAAATATTCACACAGAGATTGTTTCATTCAGTTGAAATTCATTTTATTGATAATTAAACATTTGAAAGAACATAGGACAAAATGTAATTTAAAACAACATGGTCGCATCCGTGTTCATCGTCATTCATACAAGTTGAATGCGGCATCAAAAATCGTTTTCAGATGGGGGGAGTCGAGCGTTGAACCAGCAACCGATCCTGAGCCAGGTTATTCAACTCTGAAGTGGAGGCCCTACCACTGTGCTCTTACGCAAGGCACTTAACCCCCGAAGAGGCCGCAGGGGCGCTTTTAGAAAAACTAAGACAACCCATCGATCTAAATGTCCCCGACTCTGGCTGTGGTGCTCTTCGGTGATAGGCTGAAACAGGACGTACTTACAACAACATGCCTGCTGCAGAGTGTGTTCAGATTTAGACTAAAGGGGGCACAGATGTCCTTAAAAACTTGTGTGAGAGTGGTCACATTAGGAGCAGGAATGTATGAGCAGAGAAAACTTGAGGGGAGGAGGGAGGGGAAATGTAAGGATTTGAACAGGAAAATAAAAATAAATAAAAATCTCCCATTTAAAAAAAAGAAGAAAAAAAAAGAAAAGAAAAGAAAAAAAACCCCCAAAACCCCAAACAAACATTAATAAGAAGAGAAAAAAGATGGGTGAGTTGTTTCAAAAAATAAAAAAAATTCCAAAATCCGGACAAATCTGAATCCCTGAAGGCAAGTGAGATGTAAGAAGTATGGACACAGGAGCATCTGTACGGCGTGTGTGTGCTGGTGAGTGTGTAGGCGTGTTTCGGGGAGGGGTCTGAGTGTGTGGTCTGAGTGTTTACCTTAGTGGGGAGACCCCCCATCGTCCACAGCAGTTTCAGGCCTAACGCTGCTTTTTTCCCCCATTCCACGCTACAGCTGCGTGTGCCGTACGTCCAGGGCAAGGGCTCAGTTTGGCTCCCTCCCACTCTAGCTGCAATAATCAGCAAGAGGAAGAAGGTGGCTGGAGCAGCAGCAACAACAAGGCAAGCAACTAACAGTTCACATGGAGAAGGTGGAATAATGTGGAAATGTAGAGAGGCTATGTGTCACTGAAAAATAATCGCAGCACTATCAGTTCACGTGCTGAATGAGAAGTAATGCGAGTAGCTAATGTGTGGTACAATCACATCGGAGCAACTATTGAGAGTCATGAAATGCAAGAAGAATCAGGTGTGCATTAGTATTATTTGCACTGCATCGCACGTGTTGTCTGTTATAAATTATATGAACTAACCCAGTTATAAGGTGAAAGTTGTCTAGGTGTGATTTGGATGCTGAGAAAGCCTGTGTGTGCTTCTGGTGAGATCAGAAGAGAAAAGGAAAGGTCTTCGTGCCTTCTCACTTCTGCCCGGGAAAAATCAGTGGCCTCTACAAAATCCAAAACGACTTTCGCATCACCATCAGCACTGAGAACATCACCTGAAGTCTGCTCAGCTTAAAACCCTTCGATACACACACACACACACAGTTGCTTTCTCTTTTTACTTCACTCGCCAATGCCACTACAACTCACCATCACTCACTACATGCTACAGCACAACTGTAATCCCTCCCTGCCATACAAACGGCTGCCTCTTTTTACGAGTCTGGTACAACTGAACTGTCCAACTACACCAGGTCTCCAACTGTTTAGAAAGAAATACAATCACTATGTTTTTATTAACAGTCAATATTCCTACCAAATGTTGGTTGGCATCTTTTTAAATATTTACATTTGTACCAAATTGTAGATTTTCTTTCCGTCTAAATCACAACTATCCATGAGACCAAAGGTATGACAGAAGCTGATGAGACTTCCAAAAAAAGGAAACTAATGGAAGATGTCAAAAAATAAAAATAAAAAAATAAAGAGGAAAGAAAAATTAAAAGTTGAATTTTAATTGCTCAAATTCTATTAGCTCCATTGGCCATGCATCGCTTGCTGACATTCCTCCTGGCTCTTATAAATTCACATATATACAAAACCAACAAAAAAAACCCCCAAAACTATTGAACAACTGAATGTTGCTTATAATCAGAGAAAGATGTGGATGCATTGAACACAAAACAAGAACTAAGTGTGAATAACTACTAAATTACGTGAAGACTGTTCTGACATTTAAAGGCAAAACCGACCTTTAAAGCAAAAACTGACAGGACATATTCAGTTCCTGAGGTTGGAACATATTTTTGTTTGCACAGACCTCAAGATTTACAGAAAGCCAAGAGGGGAAGAAAAGTAAGGTAAATTATAATCATCTACCTCAACTGAAATCATGCACTCTTGTGGGTCTACTCTGCTTTAATCGATACTGCCCAAAATAGCAAAACTATGAAACATCAAGCAGGTTATTCACACACTGCTTATATCCATCAAAAACCAGTCCAACTCTTGTATGTTAGGAGGATGGTCTAGAAATTTACTTCAAAGTCACTCCTCTCACCCTGCAAATGAGTAAGCTCAGGAAATGTTTTCATGTGAACAGCCCCCATTCTTTTATTTTTTTAAGACTACACCGTCAGCTAAAACCCCTTTCAGACACAGCAATCTCACTAGGTCTACCTAGTAAGACTTACATATTTCTTTTAATATGGTGCATGTCTGGATGCATGCTGTCACATGTGCGTCAAAAACAATAATCAAGTGTATGTGTTTGCTTTATTCAGTCCAGAAGACAGGATGATGTCTCTGAGCTTGTGTGGGAGAAGCTGCTCAGTCAGCAGCCCACACACTCAAAATCAGAGAAACCCTGCTGGTACTGACGATGAAGGAGAGAACAAATGTTCTCAAGTGAGACTACATCTACAGAGTGATGCTTACAATGCCCAATGACACCAGTGAGATAGGTCTTTTGGATATATTGAAAGCTGTTTGTGTGCCTGAACGAAGCCGTGAGAAGAATTCATGTATAATCCAAGTGCTGTCAATCTACAAGACTGATGTTTTCTATCCCATGTCTGAAAGGGGCTTAAGTGAAACCAGCCTGATACATTATTTGAGATGCCATCTGGTCAATTTAACAACACAATTTCAATCTGTACGGGATCAAATTTCCTCAGTAAATGAAACAATCAATTTGATTAACCACTCAAACTTCCTTTTACCTCATCTCTGCTTTCCATCTTCAAACACCATATTACATGTAGAGGTTGTGCGTCTGATCAAAACAGGTTTATTGTTACGAAAGCATCGCTACAAATGACTTCAGACTAAGCCTCGTTACATACTCTACAAAAGCCACAACAAATATGCAAGCACAACTGTTTGTACTTTGTTATTGTTGGAGATGTGCTGAGTCAACTTTGTGTTCTTCATAGCAGACTGCAGTTTGAGGTGCTGTCTAACTGAACAACATTATACAAAGAGATGTTTCTTCAACACCCTGACAGATATACAAAAGGGGACAAAATTATAGAAACAATTAGTATAAAGCAATACAGCTCAACAGCACATTAAATTGCAGCCAACCCAAAGTTGGCCGTCATGAATGAACATCATGGGCCTGTAGAGAAATTAGTGTTTTATAAAAACAATAACAAAGCCATACAGTCCCAGTTGGACAGGATATGTTTCCATGGATAAAACCGGTTTATAATTTACTTATCTGTACTTTGTATTTTTGTCTGCAATATACGATGAGTTGCCAGACTGCACATTTCATGCAGCAACAATCTTTTATGTAGAGTACATAAAATGGCTTCGCCTGACACCGAACAGAAAGCTCTTCTGAAGTGACAAAAACCCACCTTCTGAGTCCAACCTTGTTTGAGGCAAAATTTAAGCTTTAACATTCAACAAGGAACCAGCTGTGCCTCTATATCACATCTAACAGGAACTATTAATGCTTAACAGCACTCCAGTATCAGCTGCCTCCCTCATCTCCACTACTCCAGAGACCTTGCTAGCTCATAATCATCCACTTAACTGAGTAATCATCCATTGAGAGACTAGTTGGTCAAGATGGAGAAACAGGGGAGAATCACAACCTTGCCCACTCTCTTGTTTTTCGCCTTTAAACTGTCCCTTATGTATGCTCGCTGACGTACACACACACAAACACATACACGCGCACACACACAATCACACATCTGCCATGTGTAAAGGAGCGTGTGGAAGGGGGGTGGGACTATCGATAAGGGGGTTCTGGCGTGTGGTAAGGGTAATCGTGGCGCGGGGGCATGGGTTGCCCGTGTGCGGGTGTCTGCTCATACGGTGTGGAGGTGGAGTAGCTTCCCGCTCCGTAAGCTCCCGATGAATCATATGCTCCCGGTGCCCCGTAGCCTCCAGATGTGTCATAGCCCGCTGAGGCGTCGTAGCTTCCAGACGAGGCATCGTAGCTCCCGGATGAAGCGTCGTAGCTCCCCGATGAGGCGTCATAACTTCCCGAAGTGTCGTACGTTCCTGGTGCTGCATAGGAATCCGATGCGGCATATGTCGGGAGTGCTGTATATGTCCCTGGTGGTGCAGGGGTTGTGGTGGAAGCAGGTGCCTGTGTGGTTGCCGGTGGAGGCGGAGGTGGTGGTGGAGGATTGGTGTAGGCATACTGGAGGTACTGGTACTGTTGCTGGTACTGTTGATACTGTTGGTACTGATGCATTTGTTGGTAGTATTCTGTATATGACCTTGAGTCAAAATTAGAGTTGAAGAAAAGGTAAGAAATAAGCAGGAAAAAAAAGGCACACAAATCTCAATAATATGACCATGTTATATTATCATAAACTGGTTTAAGCTTAATTTTCTTCTATCACTATCTGCTCTTTAAATGTTATGTGTACCTCGCAACAGGATCCGCTCCTTCAGGAGTTGTGGTGGTGGTGGCAGCGACGGGGTCTTCAGGTGCTCCAGGTGGTGTTGGAAGCAGGGCACGTCGTTTGGGGCGTATCTGAGCAAATGAACCCGGAACAGGGTCAGGGAGGAGAGGAGCTCGATTTCCTCGTATTGGGCTGCGGTCCCGCTCATTATCTGAAGGTGCTGCCTTTCTCCCTGCCTGCTGCTCTGCCAGAACCTTGAGTCATTAAAAAAAAAACACACAACACAGATAAGATGACCGTTTCTGAAACACAATAATAGACACACAAGCACACAAGACATTTTTACTCCAAAGTTAATAGACCTTCTGTCCCTCCTGAAAGAACTTGGCTCTCGCTGCTTCGAAAAGTGTTGTTGGATCTGGTACAGTCTGGGGCTCCACCTCTTCCTCAACTGCGGCCGCTGCAGAATTGTGATTTGCCAGCTCATGAAACACCTGGTCAGCTACAGATCCATACACTTGGCTGGCAAGAGCTCCATATATGACTCCATCTGCACCTTTAGAACTGGTGATCCCTTTCAGAGCAGCGTAGGTGGGGTCAAAGGATGTGGTGTTGTAGAAAGAGTTATGGACACTTTGTTGAACCTGCAACAAAAGAAAATTCTTAAATCTAGTCCGTCTAAACTCTATGGTGCAATATAGGGAGTTCAAATTAAAGTTCATAAAAGGCTTGACTGACAATAAAGTTTCCTAAAAAGTTGTGATATTCATTACTTTGAAAAACAAAGAGCAGAAGGCTTTCAAATGGCAGTGGACATCCTGATGGAGAATATACTTACTTGTATGGGTAATCCAGCTGCAGCAGCTGCAGCTGCAGCAAGCACAGCTGCTTGACTCTGATGATGCTCTAGTGACGGAGGCGGTCGTGGAAGAAGACCCTCTCTGCCACCTGCTGAAAACATGATTACAACATAAGCTGCATTTCATTTCTTGGAAAACAAATTGCCCTTTCATCATCACCTGCTGTTACAGCACCTGTGGGGTTAGCTGAATTTCCAGCTGTCATAATCTGGTTTATCAGAGGTTGGGCTTTGGACAGCTCTACAGCCAACTGACGCCCCTTGAACATGGTCCCATTGAGTGCCTCAATAGCCGCCAAGGCTTCCTCCTTCCTCTCCATATGCACGAATGCATAGCCGACATTTGAGCATAACCTTGCTGTAGTTTACAGGAAAGAGAAAGGTCAACATTAGTCTGAGGCTGATTTTTACAATGAAATGTGTGCATCCCATATTTTATGTCACATCAACTTGAAAGATTGGACCACGATGCAAACCAGAAAAGTCACTTGCTCAGAGTTTAAAGTCCCCAAATCTGTTCTTATTCAAACCAGCTCAAGTTAATTAAATCCTGATGCAAATTTCTCTCACACACAATCTTTACAGATTACAAGGCTTTATACGTTACCTTTGACTTTATCACAGTCTAAAACTCTTCCGAAGGTTGAGAACAGCCCATGCAAGTCATCTGCTGAACATGTAGCGCTGAGGTTCCCCACAAACACTTTAGTGGAGTTGGGTGGGCGTGCTCGTGACTCTTCGACTACCAGGGGTCTGCCTCGGTACTCTTTGCCATCAAGATGTCGTATCGCCCTGTTAACGTAAGAACAGCTAAATCATAAACACATTCAAAACCACAGATGAGACTATCAGTAATAACATTTAACTGCAATATACGGTCACTGCCTACTTCCCTAAGCACACCTATTCAAAGGCTCATTAATGCAAATATCCAATCAGCTAGTCACATGGCAACAACTCAAGGCATTTACATATGTAGTCTTGGTGAAAACTACCTGCTGAGGTTCAAACTGAACATCAGAATGAGTAAGAACGGCAATTTCACTTTGAATATGGAACACCAACTTCCTGCTATCCAAGACCAGGAAACTGGTGCTACAATTTGCACAGGCTCGCCAAAATTGGACAATAGAAGACTGGACAACAACTGCCTGGTCTCATGATTAAGTCAACATTCATATGGTAAATATTTATTCTGAATGTGACCATCAGTTCACTGTACTTAAATGTCCTTCAGTCACTAGATCTTGACCCAAAATAGCACCTTTGGGATGTGCTGGAAGAGCAGACTCACATTATAGGTGTGCAGGCAGGACAAATCTGCAATGACCAGATGATTTCACATCAATATGAACCAAAATCTTTGATGAGACCCTGTTGAATCTATGCCATGAAGAATTAATGGAGTTCTTTATGGAAGAGATCAAATACCAGCATAACAAATACTGCTGCAGCCTTTCCTTGTTTTACTAACTGCACTTTAATAGGAAGTAAACAGCTACTGTAATTAGTCAGACCACAACAGTGTTTGGTGAGAGAATGGTCCTGTTCCTGTTTTCTTTTTAGTATCTTAGTTTTTCAGATACTGCAGCCTGTTGCTTCTTTCATACCTTTATAAACTTTGTTACTTTTATTGTTTGACCTAGGTCTTCCAATTTCTAATAATAATGAAAGAGACAATTCTTGTATCTGAACTGTTTGTCTCCACTCAGACATTTTTTTAAGGTGTCTGCAAACTGTAAACTATTGCATGTGTTTTAGGCTTCTACTGTATTAGACTAGTATTAAGCAGGAAAGTGAAGCTAAGCAAATGGTCAAATTAAGCTTCTATGCATGGATCTTGGGATTTATAATTAGTCATTACTTTTATAATTAGTCATTACTTTTATAATTAGTCATTACTTTTAAACAGTCAAAGCACTGGAAAGGTCAAATATGTATATACTTGTTACTTTTAACCTTTAATTTATATTGTATAACTCATTGATATGATTGTTGTACTGTAACAAATATGTAGCTCCCAGAGTGGACTCATTTCTGTGAGTTGTTTTAACACTATAACAAAAACATCATTTATTTACAATGCAGATAGTGCTTACCAACTGTATCGTTTAAGAGGTTCAGAATATGTACTACAATACCAAAAAATCAAACTGAAAGAGAATGACATGTCATGTAGACTAAATCTGACTAAACTCTCAAACATTAAAACTAAAGACATTTCAACTTGTTTCAATTTATTTAACTAAAGTCTAGTTTATGACATGTTGTTTTTTGTTTTTTGTTTTTAAACGTTTAGTTTTACTTAAGTATAACAACCTTGATGATAAAATAAATGAACGTTTCTGGTTTTGGAATAGATAGATTCTATCTATCATATGATGTTCCTAACTCACAATAGGATTTTGAAGGCCACTGTGCACATTAGTGCAACTGGTCAGAACAAAGTTAAGTAAAGAGACACAGAGCAATGCATGGCAGATGTCTGTGCAATACTCTATTTAAGAGTCTGCTGATAAGCCATAATTATTTTGGGGGTTAGCTTTACTTTACTACACATACTGAACATCACTAATACAAATGTTGCATTTCTGACGCATGTTTAAAAACGACAAAGCTGGACTACTTTAAATGACTAAATACAATGAACTCAGTCTGCTCTTATACTTTGAGAAAAGAATGTATGTTTTCATGTAAACTACATGACTCCTTTTGACATGATTTCCGAGATGTACAACAACATTTAGGAAAGCAAAACACTAATTATATCTAATAACAGTGATGGCCAATGTAACAATTATACCTGTCTGCTGCCCCCTCTCCCTTCAGGGTAACGAAAGCATACTGTCTCAGCAACGAGCAGGTGTTGATCTCTCCATATGGACCAAAGAGCTTGTTCAGTTCTTCGTGCGTAGCATCTATAGGAAGGTTCCCTACAAACAACTTCACGTTCTCACCGCTCATCTCTGTAAAAACCAGGCATCTGCAAGAGAACAAACATGACGCGGGGAACATACGGTCATTTGTGATTTGAGCAACGGTAACAGGCTAGCTAGACGATTAGTAGATCTCAACAGGAAATTTGCTGTCTTGAAAAAATCTCGAAAGGCCTATCAAAGCTGATTGATCCCCCCCCCACACACACACACCACACACACACACACACACACACAATCTGGCGTTATTACCAGGCGGGTTTTTTTTTTTATAGCTATTTGCGTATTCGCCGGATTGCCACTTGGCAGTCGCCGCAGCGACGCCAGGAGGTATTATTAGCTAAGCTAATAAAACCGTTAAGTTGGGCGGCGAAAATGCCTCCAGATTAAAGTGTGTAAAATGCCTAGGTTAGCCGCAGAATGGCAAAAGACGAAAAATAGCTACATGTAACTGTTTATATAGCTTACTATAAGCACCGTTACACGACCAGCAGCACGCTAAAACTCCAGACACTCCTGGCCATCTTGTTGAGCATTAGCTAATGTTAGCTACGCCAGCTAACGCTAACGTAGAGGGTTTTATCTGAGTGGTAGCAAACGTCTACCAAAGCTAAAGCCAGGTCTCTGTTACCAGTTATCGTAAAAAAAATAACTAAGCCCGTCTAGTTTTCATATTTGAACAAAAATTTTGAATTATGCCAGCAAAGTACACAGAAGCCTTACCCAACGCGGTCCTGGAGCTGTCGTATTTAAACCTCACATCCGTATCCGGTTTCCTGAGGCAGGGTTGCACACATGGAGGGCGCAGTTTCACCAAGACGGTCACTTTACTGGCAAGCCACTATTTTACTTGCATATCTTCGCGCTAATGTGCTAAAGTAGACTGTAGCACTAACAAAATGGATGAACGGAGGCTATGGGTTCTGTAACTACAGGACTTTAAACCAATTAACCCCTGTTTAACTGCTCTTCTAAAACGACTTGTTACTATTATCTGTACTAAAAAGTAATACAAAAATAAGACATAACTCAAGTCTTATGTGGATCTAGAACACGTGAGTCTGACGTCATGATGACTTGACTCCAGGTGAGATCAGGTGGGTTAGGAGGAGGAGCAAAAGAAGGCATCTTCAGATCGGAGAGCACGCGTCATGACAGGCCAGAGTGAAAGAGAAGTAAACTTCCTATCGTAGTAAAAAAAAAAAAAAAAAAAAAGCTGGTGGAAGAACACGAAGCATGCCATCATAAAGTGGATCCGGAGGTGAAAAAGGAAGGAGAAGAATCGGAGCAGAGAGGTAGTAAAACAGTTTGAGTTGGTTGTTTAAAAATAAGATGAGCGTGCTGTGACACACAATTACATGACTGTAGCGCTAGAAGCCTGCGTGCAGCGCAGTTTGCGGAGGAAATGTGCAAGTTTTAGAGGAATGTACTTCGTGCGGGTCCAGACAAGTTGACATGTATAGGCTGCGGTCAGATTCAGCCCATTGATGCGTTCGTATTAAGAAGGATAAGTGTGTCAGTTTGACATTTGCTCCTTTTTTACTTAACATCTAATGACTGTTGTGACGTTTGTGTTTGCTGTCGGTGTGTCTGTAATTTAAAGATCTTCACCATAGGTTGCTATTTTATTTAAGCTTTGTCTGAGCTGCTGTGCTTTACCAAGTCTGGACTTGCCGGTCCAATCCAGTCAGATTTATGGTACAAGTGTGTGTCTGTTTGTGTGCAGCAGTCTCACCCGTCTTTCTGTCATTACTGGGATCCAGAAGGATGCCATAACCACGTGTAGCATTATGAGACTGCATGGAGATTTGGAGCACATTAACTATGTTGTTGTATGCATATGTGTTTAGATGGCACAGCAAGAAGAACCCCTGTACGATTTCCCAGAGCCCACCCAAGTATCGGAGCGCAAGCTGAGGGGTCAGGGTTCCCTGAAAAACATCAGTGTACTGGATCGTCTCCTGCTTACAGTGCCCGTCTGGCTTCAGCTATCAATCAACCCAGCCACAGCACTGCACATACTGCAGAGGGAACCTCCCGGGGTCTGAGACACAGACATAACACACATCCACATTTCCTCTCCTACCTTTTCTTATGCACTCCCAGTTGCGTTCAGTAATCACTTGTGTTGTCTTGCAGACGTTCCTGGTGCGAAAGTCTCGCACGTCCCAAAGAAACGTGCTCTGTGTGCGTTTGACGGATGACAGCGTGCCATCGTTTGTTCAGCAGTTTGGTATCAGAGAGGAGCAAGGCAGTAAGAGCATTACCTCAACACTTGGTAGTCTTTGGAAGAGTCCACTCACATTTTAGGAAAGCATCTTAACGTTTAATAGAGTGCTGTGAAAAAGTTATTTAGCTTCTTCCTTATTTCTTTTATTCTTGTTGCATATGTGCCATACTTATGTTAGATCATCGAACAAATGTTAATATTAGACAAAGTAAATACAAAATGCAGTTTTTGATTAGATAATTTCATTAATTAAGGCATCAAAGATGGGAAGGAAGTGTTTGGATTCAGCCATATTAGAGTTTTCAAGTTTGAATGGTCTGCCATCGTATGACATTTTTGCCCAGTCACTTTCTTATTGATGAATCATGAACACCGAGGCAAGTGACGCCTGCAGGTCTGTAGATGTTGTTCTTTTGTGACCTCTTGGATGAGTCGTCGATGTGCTCTTGGAGTAATTTTAGTCAGCTGGCCACTCCTGGGAAGGTTCACCACTGTTTACTCCATATGTGGATAATGGCTCTCACTGTGGTTTGGTGGAGTCTCAAAGCACCAAACAAAGTCGCTGATAGAAGTCAGTGACTTTGTTTCTCAGCTTTTCTTGAGTGTCTTTATATCATGGCATGATCTGTTGCTTTTTGAGATCTTTCAGCCCACATCACTTTGTCAGACAGGTTCGATTTAATTTATTTCCTGATCCAGCAGGTCGGGCAGTAATCATGCCTGGGAGTGGCTTGTAACATTGAGCAAAAAAAAAAAAGTGGTTAATCACAGTTAATTTCTCATTTAACAAGGAGAAGCAACAACACCGTACTCGTGTGCTGGATATAAATGTAAATCTGCATTTTCTTTAATTATATTCTTTTGGCTAGGTATTATATACACCATTTGCTTGTTTTTACTTTATTATTTATTGCAACAAATAAAAATTAAAAAATACACGCACACAGACCATGATGAGTGCAGTGTTGTCAGCAATTCTATGAGTCTTATTTAACCTAGCTTTAAAATCTTTTCATTCTGAAGATGCTGTAATTAAATATCAGACAGCTTTAAATCTACAACTACACACTATCATTTCTGTACTATTACACAGTACTTACACATAAATACTAGAATTCAGATAAAAGCAAAGATGCCTTTCATTGTCTTCTTTTAAAGTAAAACTCCAGGCCAAAGACCCAATATTCTACTCAATAATTCCTCAGATAAGCTGTATTATTAATACCAGCCAGCGTTCCCTCGCACTAAACATCCCTGACATTTGAATTTTCTTCATCCGCAGCTCTGTCTCTGGAGACTTCAGCCATCAGCTTTCCAGACCTTCCAAGACTAATTTCCTTTTACTGTGTTAGCAGGTAAAATGTTGCCTTCTTCATTCTCAGTTTCCTTAGTGGTTCTTTGGTATAATTTTGATTCTTTAACCTTGCTCAAGTCCTATTACGTTGTCATCACTTCTTCCTCTTTTTCCACGTGAATCCATTCCAATATCTGTTTATGTGCAAGAACTAATGCAGATCTTTTTAATCTCTGCGGCGCATGTTTCTTTTCAGAGATGTGCTACCATTCCCTCTGGAGCTTCCTGACGCAATAGCGAGGGCATCATCGCACAAAGAGCTCGAGTCTATCTCACACATGGGAATAGGTTGGTCATTTCATTTTTTTCCCCCAATAGAAGATTTTGTAAGCATGCTCAACTTCAAATACTTTGATCTTCCAGGATTTATTTAAGCACATCATTAATTATGTCTCAGCCGCAGGTTAGCAAGCAGCCACTGGGGGAAGTTTGTGTGTAGGTGCATCTTTTCTGTCCTCTGCTTACTTAATTCTTTTATGTATGAAATGTGAATTTAATAAAAAATAAATAAATCAATAGTAAATTACTGTCACAATGATGTTGAATTTATGCAGCTTATAAAATGTAAACTTTACTCAATAAATCACTGTTCGCATTAGAATCACAGTAAAATTTGGTTATGATGAACTTATTAAAATAACCAAAACATTTTTTTGTTGTGTAGAGTTTTGGAATTCCCACCTAAATGTCCGTGGGCCACGGGAGACACCTAAGCCCCGAAAAGCTAAGGAGAAGAAGCGAGATGTTGCAACCTCCGCCCTGCCTAAGTCTGCACTGCAGTCAAGCTCTCCAGCTCCGTCTGACTCAGCTCCACAGCCAGACTCAGACAACCAGCATAAATCTGCACCTGACTCAGATGCTGCCGCCCAGAAATCGTCTCTAAATTCCACCTTGTTCCACGAGTTTTGCCCGATCACCACGCGTAGTCCCTTAGAGCTGGACTGTGGCTCTGGGCTGGGCGCTCTCTGTTTCATCAACCCTCTTTTCCTGCAGTCTCAGAGCACTTTATCCAGACGGCGCATGTTCAAGCACAGCCTCAAAGTCCGGGTTTCAACAGAGACATCGACCATGCTGTCGCCCCCGCTTGCTCCACCACCTCCGCCACCTTTAATGCCAAAAACCAAGGGGAGGTGTAAAGCCCAGAAGAGTGGACAGGAAACACTCGAGCTGAGAAAAGGCCAAACTGCTCAAGACAGCCATACCCAGCCGGTGACGCAAAACGATCCCAGCGGTGGTCAACCGCAGCCTTCATCAGCAATTCCTCAGATCCAGCCAGGGATGCAGGAGCAGCAGATGGAAGCACGCCAAAGTAAAGAGGGAGTGAAAGAAGAGGAGGCTACTGCCCAGCCACCAGCAATAAAGGAGCATCTCCCAGCTGACTCAGACTACATGAAACCCTGTCCAATAATCAGTTTCCCCAATTGTGCCTCACTGTCGTCTAAGCCACCTCCTCTTTTCCCCAAAATTTTTCAATCCCTCTCTCCTCGTGACTCTCCCAGTGCTTCTCCCTCTCTTTCCCCTTATCAGTCCCCATCTGTATCTCCCAAGATGCACATTTCTCTCTCCCCTAATGACTCACCCAGCCTTTCTCCCTCCCATTCGCCTTATCAGTCCCCATCTCTTTCTCCTAAGGTCCCCTACTCTCTCTCTCCCTTCATCTCCCAACCCTTCTCTCCGTTGATAGAGCTGGCCAGCGATACATACTCCACTCCTTCAACACCGGATCAGTTGAGATCAGACAGTGAAGCTGAAGAGAAGGAGGAAGCACAAGTGATCGAAAACAAGGATGGAGAATACAAAGATCAGCACAAAAAGATGGAAAAGGTTGACTTGGTGTTACAAACGAATGCTGCTTCTGTAAACGATAGGGAGAGCTGCAGTACTGAAGAAACAGCAGAAACTCCTGATTAGGGCTGGGTATCGTCACTGATGTTTAGAATCGATTCGATCCACGATTCGATTCAATTCAATTCAATTTGAATCTGGGAAATTTTGCCTCAGTCAGAAATATTATAATTCAGATCAGTACATTGACATATTTTTGTATCTATTAAAAGGGAAGCTGACACTTTCCAGACTTTATCAAAAGGTGTGAGCGTCACAGCAGAGGCCTTTGTGTCAAAGTAGCTGAAGATAAAACACAGAAAAACATGAAGGTGATTTTCCTGGCCTGGGATTTTATAAAAATATTCCACAGTACATCAAAAACGAAAAAACCATTAATCAACATATGAACATTACCTCTAAAGTTACAGCGGTTTTATTAGAGACACGGCGTTTTGCATTTTGTATAATTTTAAAAAGTTTAAATTTGTTCAGAAGCCTATTGAACGGCAGAAATTAGGTTTTCTTTTCGGAAGTAAGTAAAAGGGGGAAAAAAAAAAAAAAAAAAAAAAAAAAAAACATCGGCCGACAGCGCTGTAAACAACGGTAGACTTGTGCGTAACAAGCAAGCGAATAATGCAGAAAACAGATTTCGGGGATAGACGGGAAACTGTTCTTGAAGTACACTGAGAAAGAGAGAGAGCTGTGCATGAAGTGTGATTTTTATCGTGGTGGAAGCAAAACAGCAAAAGTCAGAGGGAATTCATGACGATGTTTATATAAAGCGTAGTTTGGATCTTATTTGGCTGCTGGTTCGGTCAATATTGTTTGGAGAGAGATCAAACTAACAGCTTTAGAATCAGCGGAAAAAGGGCGTAAACACAAAGCGCGGACCCGCCGAAACATCAGAAGCAGCGAGCTGTCGGCTTTCAGCCTCGACCGTGTCCGTGCCGTCGGTGAGAAAGGAGACATCTCACCGATTCTGATCCGTCGGCGGGTCCGCGCTTTGTGTTTACGTCTTTGTACAGAAGCCGTGTACCTGCTCTCATTTACTGTTTTAGATGTTTGGTGGTGGTTGAAATTTTGTGAGGTTTCACCTGAGATTCTGGAATTTTGGGCAAAATACATTTATATAAAAAAATCGATTCAGGATTTTAATGAATGATATCACGTTATCCAAGCCAGAATTGATTTTAATCAATGAATTGATTATTAAAACCCACCCCTACTCCTGATACATCCGACAAACAGGGCGATGGTACAAAAGCATCTAACGAGCAAACAGCTTAAACTGCCTTTTAATTACTAATCCCTGGGATTACTTCAGAATGCCAGTAGTTTCTTCAGGGTGACTCTTTATTGTTAACGTGTAGTAAAAGTGAGTTTATGAAAATGAAACCTGCTATGATTCTGGAAGGAAAGAAAAAATACCACCCAGATCTTATCAAATTGATTTTTTTTTTATTTGTTCAGATTCAACATCAAAAATACTTACTAGTCCAACTCACCAGAAAGAGGAATAACACTAATCCAATATGCCTTAATACCAAACTGGGCAAAAAAAAAAAAACCCATGAAGTATTACTTTGCCTTACAGCCAACATTAAGTTGTCACTGGAGCTAGTTAACAGTCCTAAACCTCTCAAGTCATTAACACCGAAATGGGCATAAAACTAAAAAGGACCAGCTGTGAAGACTGTAAAATCTGTAGCCATGAGTTGACTGTAAAAAAGTATTCACTTCAATCACTTTGAGTTACCATAAAGATTTGTAAAAGCATCTTTTCAATGCTTTAACTGTTTTTAAGTGTCAGGGTTACATTGGTTTAGTTCTTACTTCATTAGAAAAGTGTTTGCCAAAGACATCTGCAAGAGTGATGAGCTATTAATAATCATCTCGCTCACACCGTGTCTGACAATTGTCATCAGAAACAGACGTGACACGGAACCAGAGTGCTTAAGAATCAGTTGGTGCTTGAAAAGTTGTGGCTGCTCTGGTTCTATGGCTTTATTGGATGTAAGAAAGAATCATTCTGCTATTGCATACAGTTGCAAAGAAAGAAAAAAAGAAGAAAAATCTGATTTCTGTTGGTACTTTTTGGAAATTGCAAAGCAGATTCTCCCTCCCTCCACATATCAACACCAGCAGGGAGCGTCTTGTTTGCTCAGCTCCAGCAGGCCGGACTCCAGCTGCTCTGCATCGTCTTGGAAGCGCTCGGTAAAGGAACGAATCAAACCTGCTGCGCTGCCTTCGTATTCCACCAGCTCAACACTATCCCCTGGAAATCAAACACACACAGACTGAATGATTAACTCTGGCAGAACAGAGCTAATTCACTTGTTTGTATGCTTGTATAACTGTTGTCTGTCACAACAAGTTGAACAGTTAATATATTTTTAATGCCATTTGATTTGATATACCTTTATTAGTCCCACAAGGGGACATTTCATAAGGCTGCCGACCTATTGCACGCAATGGCGCCGCCATCTTACCCTCCGACCATAAGACAGGTCAGAGAGGTATATTTGTACAATTGTTAATATTTCTATGCGAGGATGAAGCAGTGCCATTACAGATTTGACACGTAGTCTTTAAGCAAACTCCAAAAAGGTATTTTTGGAAGCTTCCAAATAAAACTTGGATATAGAGAAGCGTAATCATCCTTTCCATTCATTACCTCACAACACTATATTAATCAGATTTAACATTTTAGGATCTGTAAAATCACATACATTATGATTTCTCCTTTTTTCAACTGAAAATAATGTAGACATTGAACTCAATCAAGTCAATATGTTTTATCCAACCAGATAAGTTTATATCACAAGTTTTTTGCTGCAAAATGAGATTGACTCTGTCACCATAAGACCATCTATCAGTCTGTAATTGAAAGGGGAGATAAGCTGCCAAATGTATTCAACCTGTGTCTGATAAATCAGTCCAAGTCAGACTGCGAATGTTTGCAGAACACTTGCCTTCTATCAGCCAACCTGTGCAATTGCCTTGCGATCAGTTGCAATTGGTAACAGAATGTCCAAAAGAATCACATTCTGAGCCCTCTTGTTTGCAGTATTCCAATAGTGTTTTAAAATTGACACCTTACCATGCAAATTATCGTTTCGTTTCCCCCGATCCCAACCCTAATCATCACATGCTTATGAATAGTTTTATAGAAGTGAAAACAGCTAGACCGGTTATCAAACATAAATAAATCAGACAGCACCCTGTTAAAACAGAGTCATTTCCATACCGCTGATTCTTGTGTTGGCTTGAACAAACATCTTGCGAGCCTCCTTCCTCAGCAGCACCGTCTCGCGCAGGCGCAAAAAGTTGTGAGCGCCAGTGTCGCTTACAGTGGAGTACTTGTCATAGAAAGCCCTGCCTCCTTCCACGTCTGCCGTCGACTTAAAGACCTACAAATCAGTTTACAAACTGTGGATTCAGCTTAACAGCATACTGAATGAAATCAACAGAAAGACGACAATAAAGCTTAGATGATGGCTTAGAGTAAACTTAGGTGGAAAGTTTGGATCAATCTAGTTGCAAAACAGGTTACAAAAGCTTGACTCATTTCATTGTTTTGTTCAACCCTCAAACTAAAATCCTAACTATAAGTTACTGCAAAAGTAAATAATACACAAATTCACATTTGCCATGGTGCACCCAATTAAGTTTTAATATATATTTTTTTAAACATAAAACACTCAACTGCTAATCAAAATTGTTGCTGCTTAATTTAGTGGTGCATGTAGCTGTCAAATCGATTCTAGTGAATTATTCTATTTTGCATCCATTGATTGGAGAAGTATTGATTACCTGCAGTTTACAAAGGAACCTATGGATGGCGTTCTTGCCCACGGTGGGGATCTTGCTTCGGTCCAGTGTAATTTGTGCATCGGGCTTGCCATCTTCTCCCGTTACTTCCTCCAGGCCCACCAGGCCCTCTCCAGCCTCCAGCAGCACGCGTAGGATGACGAATCGAGCCTGCATGTGAGCCTGACACAAACACATAACGCCACATATAGTTGACGTACTGTCTAACAAACAAACTGAAATTTACCATCAACTTATTTATAAAAATGACACAGACGTATCGAGCTGAGGCTGTAAGAAACACATAGTCAACGTTCTGTATGCTTGATTGTAGAAACTGTTCAGCTAATACTTTGCAACTTTGAAGAAGAAGTGAAAAGAGGCCACTAGTAAGAGGAAAACTGCTCAGTGAGCAGACACATTACCTGTCTCCAGCGCTTGCTCTCAGGTGTGTAGAACTCCAGGCCCAGCAGTCCCGCTCTCACCATGCTGAGCCAGTTTATGTACACCACATCATCTGCATCCTGACCCTCATGGCCAAAAATACTGGCAGAGAAACACATGGATGTAAACGCACCGACCCCACAGAGAATCAGCCACACTCTTGGACATACATAATGACCACTACCTCCAACCCACTTTTATATATTTAACAAAAAAACCATCCATGTCCAAAAACTGGAGTAAGACTGAAAAATAACTGTAAAAGTGGACTGAAGAGCTGCTTAAAGTTTCCAAACATCCAAATAAAGTGGGCATTATTTCACTTGGCTCTGGAGTTTGTTTAATATTCATTACATATTTAAATAGATTGAAAGCCTTTGTTTTTGTTCCCAAAAGATTCTTGGATCCCACAAATATTTTTCCAGCTGCAAAAATCTGTCAGTTTATGGAAATTTGAGGGAGACTTTTGAATCCAAATGTGACTTTTATTTTCTTATTTATACAGTTTATTTGATCTCCTTTTTATTTTTACTTTATGTGCAATATTTGCTTCTCTACATGAAATATTGAGGAGATGCTGAGCCTAAGAATTTCACTGCTGGGAGTGATTGTTACCTGTAGATGCCAATAAGAAAACTTTTTGGTTAAGGTGGGATGTGTAAGTTAGTTTAACATATATAATACATATTTATTACAAGATACAGTGTGCAGGACATACCTGAGCACTTGTTTGTTGAGGCACAAATAGAGTCCGACACACTCAGCGCGGCATTCTTCATAAGAAGAAGCAATCGTGGAGAACTTACTGTCCCAGGTCTCGCTGCCCCGATACCAGCTGGACACCTGAAACGCATGTTCACACATTAAGTCTCTCTTTTATTCAGCAACTG